GATGCACTGCAAAAAACAATCTAAAAATCAGTAAAAAATGTCTTAAATTAAGTATATTTACCCTTAATTTGAGCGGCTAAATAAGATAATCTACCAATGGAATGAGCGTTTTTACTCTTAAAATAAGATATTTAGATAAAATACACTTGAAATAAGACAATGCCATTGTGTTTTCTTATTTTGAACATAAATCGTCTTGTTCCATTGGCAAAATGTCTCCTTTACCTCCTCAATCCAAAAACAAATGCACTTATTTTAAGAAAAAATGACTTATCTAGATTTAGATTTTTTTTTTTTTCAGTGTAGAAATTCTAATCCTACTCACATCAGAGAAGTTGCTTAGAGTTACAGAAGGCAGCTGCTTACCAACCGGGTTCACTTCTCAGGAAGCGGCCCCGATAAGCAGTTAAGTCGGGCGTACACGATACGATTTTTTTTTGTGCCCTTTTTGGGCCAAATCTTTAGTCGTGCGAGAATTTTCAGATCGGGTCGACTTTCAGCCCGATTGTGCAAACATGTTTGATTTTCAGTTGGCCGTCTTAAGGTGGTTTTGGGCAAATCGCTCAGTGGGCAAACAAGGATTCTTCTTCTTCTCAGATGTAAACCCAGCATCATGGTGGGGGTACAGACCGTAGTAGCCACGTTTGCTCAGCCATGTCTTTGTCCAAATACGTCGTTGCCTTTTCTTTTTAGGGCTTTCAGCATAAAATTGCCCAAATAGCCAAGGCAGCATGTTTCACTATAGTGAGCTTCATGTTCCTCTTCTACTGGTTTGGCTTCTGGATAGACGAGTCTGAGTAGCGCCATTATTATTTAATAAAACATTATTTGGCCAAATAATGTTTTATTGAATGATTTGCTTAATCAAGAACCAAAAACCTTTAGTTAAATTATTCTTTATCCTCTTTGAAATAGCTAGCAGTGAATAGACATCAGGATTCCACTAAATGACTCTTGGTTATATTTGGTAATGGAAATGTAACGAGCATCTGAGGAACACATGAACACTAATGTTATATCAGTGTTTAAACCTTTAGTGAAATAGAGCTTTGTGCAGAGGTCTTATGGCTGTTTAATCACCAAAACTGTATTTCCTTCTCCGGTCATCATGTCAAGATGAAGCATGGACACTGGTTCTTATGTCCAAAACCACGATCATGGTGCATGACACAATGAAAGTGTTCTAACAATCTAAAACTGTGCACCTGGAGAATAAATAACCAATATCCATCTATGGACATTTTTACAGTAATGGATGTTTGAAAATAGCAGCAACATCAGAGATGTGCAGAATGACAGCAGCAGGTTATATAACTGATTAATGTAGAAACTGTGCAAAATGAGCATGAATGGAACAAGTTATTGAGGTTGTTGGGAACAGTGGTGGTTCTAGAGCAGGGGTGCTCAAGTCCAGTCCTTGAGAGCTACTATCCTGCAACTTTTTGATGCAACCATTTATAACACACCAAATCAAATGAGTGGCTCATTTAGATTCAGGTGTGTTAGAGAAGAGATGCATCTTAAAGTTACAGGATGGTAGCTCTTCAGGACTGGACTTGAACACCCCTGTTCTAGAGTCTTCAGGGAGGAAGGATCTGTGATAACGCTCCCTGGTGCATCTAGGGTGCAGCAGTCTGTCACTGAAGGAGCTCTCCAGTTCAGCACCAGCTTCATGCATGGGGGGGGGGATATTGTCTAACAGAGATGTTAATTTAGTTAGGATCCGTCTGTTTCCCACCTCCTGCACTGAGTCCAGAGGGCATCCAATCACAGAGCTGGCCTTCCTGATCAGCTGATCCAGCTGCTTCCTCTCAGCTACAGATAAGCCACTGCTCCAACAGACAGCTCCATAGAAGATGGCTGATGATCCAAAAGACCTCAGTCTCCTCAGCAGAAAGAGTCTGCTCTGTCCTTTGTTATCCAGAGCCTCAGTGTTGTGAGTCCAGTCCAGTTTGCTTTCAGGTTGCTGTTGCGATTTTATGTTGGTCTCCCTTTGAACTAACCACAAACAAGAAGATGTCTTACTCTGGAGTTTCATTGTTTTCCTGCAAGGCTCACTCCTCCAGGGTCCATTGCTGCAGGACTTTACTGTTACTGTTGTGTGGAAAAATACTCACTTCTGTCTGCCTGCGTGGATGTGTGTTCCAGCTGCAGCTCCGTGTGCCTGCGTGGATGTGTGTTCCAGCTGCAGCTCCGTTCTCCTGCGTGGATGTGTGTTCCAGCGGCAGCTCCGTCTGCCTGCGTGGATGTGTGTTCCAGCGGCAGCTCCGTCTGCCTGCGTGGATGTGTGTTCCAGCGGCAGCTCCGTCTGCCTGCGTGGATGTGTGTTCCAGCGGCAGCTCCGTCTGCCTGCGTGGATGTGTGTTCCAGCGGCAGCTCCGTCTGCCTGCGTGGATGTGTGTTCCAGCGGCAGCTCCGTCTGCCTGCGTGGATGTGTGTTCCAGCGGCAGCTCCGTCTGCCTGCGTGGATGTGTGTTCCAGCGGCAGCTCCGTCTGCCTGCGTGGATGTGTGTTCCAGCGGCAGCTCCGTCTGCCTGCGTGGATGTGTGTTCCAGCGGCAGCTCCGTCTGCCTGCGTGGATGTGTGTTCCAGCGGCAGCTCCGTCTGCCTGCGTGGATGTGTGTTCCAGCGGCAGCTCCGTCTGCCTGCGTGGATGTGTGTTCCAGCGGCAGCTCCGTCTGCCTGCGTGGATGTGTGTTCCAGCGGCAGCTCCGTCTGCCTGCGTGGATGAGTGTTCCAGCGGCAGCTCCGTCTGCCTGCGTGGATGAGTGTTCCAGCGGCAGCTCCGTCTGCCTGCGTGGATGAGTGTTCCAGCGGCAGCTCCGTCTGCCTGCGTGGATGAGTGTTCCAGCGGCAGCTCCGTCTGCCTGCGTGGATGAGTGTTCCAGCGGCAGCTCCGTCTGCCTGCGTGGATGAGTGTTCCAGCGGCAGCTCCGTCTGCCTGCGTGGATGAGTGTTCCAGCGGCAGCTCCGTCTGCCTGCGTGGATGAGTGTTCCAGCGGCAGCTCCGTCTGCCTGCGTGGATGAGTGTTCCAGCGGCAGCTCCGTCTGCCTGCGTGGATGAGTGTTCCAGCGGCAGCTCCGTCTGCCTGCGTGGATGAGTGTTCCAGCGGCAGCTCCGTCTGCCTGCGTGGATGAGTGTTCCAGCGGCAGCTCCGTCTGCCTGCGTGGATGTGTGTTCCAGCGGCAGCTCCGTCTGCCTGCGTGGATGAGTGTTCCAGCGGCAGCTCCGTCTGCCTGCGTGGATGTGTGTTCCAGCGGCAGCTCCGTCTGCCTGCGTGGATGTGCGTTCCAGCGGCAGCTCCGTCTGCCTGCGTGGATGTGCGTTCCAGCTGCAGCTCCGTCTGCCTGCGTGGATGTGCGTTCCAGCTGCTGCTCCGTCTGCCTGCGTGGATGTGCGTTCCAGCGGCAGCTCCGTCTGCCTGCGTGGATGTGCGTTCCAGCGGCAGCTCCGTCTGCCTGCGTGGATGTGCGTTCCAGCGGCAGCTCCGTCTGCCTGCGTGGATGTGTGTTCCAGCGGCAGCTCCGTCTGCCTGCGTGGATGTGTGTTCCAGCGGCAGCTCCGTCTGCCTGCGTGGATGTGTGTTCCAGCGGCAGCTCCGTCTGCCTGCGTGGATGTGTGTTCCAGCGGCAGCTCCGTCTGCCTGCGTGGATGTGTGTTCCAGCGGCAGCTCCGTCTGCCTGCGTGGATGAGTGTTCCAGCGGCAGCTCCGTCTGCCTGCGTGGATGAGTGTTCCAGCGGCAGCTCCGTCTGCCTGCGTGGATGAGTGTTCCAGCGGCAGCTCCGTCTGCCTGCGTGGATGAGTGTTCCAGCGGCAGCTCCGTCTGCCTGCGTGGATGAGTGTTCCAGCGGCAGCTCCGTCTGCCTGCGTGGATGAGTGTTCCAGCGGCAGCTCCGTCTGCCTGCGTGGATGAGTGTTCCAGCGGCAGCTCCGTCTGCCTGCGTGGATGAGTGTTCCAGCGGCAGCTCCGTCTGCCTGCGTGGATGAGTGTTCCAGCGGCAGCTCCGTCTGCCTGCGTGGATGAGTGTTCCAGCGGCAGCTCCGTCTGCCTGCGTGGATGAGTGTTCCAGCGGCAGCTCCGTCTGCCTGCGTGGATGTGTGTTCCAGCGGCAGCTCCGTCTGCCTGCGTGGATGAGTGTTCCAGCGGCAGCTCCGTCTGCCTGCGTGGATGAGTGTTCCAGCGGCAGCTCCGTCTGCCTGCGTGGATGTGTGTTCCAGCGGCAGCTCCGTCTGCCTGCGTGGATGTGTGTTCCAGCGGCAGCTCCGTCTGCCTGCGTGGATGTGTGTTCCAGCTGCAGCTCCGTCTGCCTGCGTGGATGTGTGTTCCAGCTGCAGCTCCGTCTGCCTGCGTGGATGTGCGTTCCAGCTGCAGCTCCGTCTGCCTGCGTGGATGTGCGTTCCAGCTGCTGCTCCGTCTGCCTGCGTGGATGTGCGTTCCAGCGGCAGCTCCGTCTGCCTGCGTGGATGTGCGTTCCAGCTGCTGCTCCGTCTGCCTGCGTGGATGTGCGTTCCAGCTGCTGCTCCGTCTGCCTGCGTGGATGAGTGTTCCAGCGGCAGCTCCGTCTGCCTGCGTGGATGTGTGTTCCAGCTGCAGCTCCGTCTGCCTGCATGGATGTGTGTTCCAGCGGCAAAGCCACTTTAATTGTTTTACTGCCACCTTTTTTTGAACCATGTTTTTTCTCCCACAGTGTTTACATTTGATCACTGCTGCACTTTATGGAATGAAAATGTTCACTTACTGTCTGAAAAGCTGTACTAAACAAAATTCTGGTTGAATGTGGCAATAGTTGAGTGCCTTGGAGACTTGATAATTGGGTTTTGTAAAAAGTGGTTATAAAGCAAATGCAATTATTTTCCCAGCTCTACTATGGGCACACATTCTGAGCTCTAATATTCATGATCCCATGATGACTGTAGATGGGTTTTGAATGTCCACACACTTCTCAGATACCCTGCTGAGGGGGCACGCACTGATTTTTATTTTTCTTCCTTTCCCAGATCACAGCAGTACGATGGAGAACAATCCAGGCCGAGGGGGGGTTTCTAGCAGCAGGAAATCATCGTTCCCTGCAGCCCCTTAGGCCGTCTTTCACCTTGTGTCGTTATTGGATTATTGAACGGATGGGCCATCCCAACATTTCTTAGCAACTGGAACAAAGTGTTGAAAGAGGGCTTCATCACTCGTCCTGCTTCATGAGCCAGCAGGATGCAGCTGAGGTCCTCGCACTCTCTGAGCGCCTCCTCATAGCTTCACACAAGGGACAAGCCGACAATGTGGTGCAGCTCATCAACAAAGGGGCCAAAGTAGCCGTCACCAAGGTGGGACTTTCAGTCAGTCTGAATGCAGAAGCATTTCAATTGCTTTTCATTATTTTCCTGGTTGCCCATCAGCTTAGGTCTGCTAAAAACCTCTTAGCCACACATCTAACGTGTTAGCTACATTACATTACTACTACTGGTTCCTATTTATGAAGGCTGTTAACCACCTGTGTCCCTGTGTTGTCAGTAGTAGTTATTACTGCTTTCATATTCAGGACACTTTACATCTTTGATTTCATTTTGTTCAAACTGAATATGCCTGATTGACAGATTCTCTCCAAATTTCTTTAAAGGTAACTCGTGTGTGTTTTTAGGGATGAGTATTGGAATTGGTGTTGCAATACGATACGTGGCATGATACTTGGGTCACAATGTGATATTATCACAATATTGCAATATCACTATAATCCAATTCAGTTTATTTCTATAGCTCCAATTCACATCATGTCATCTTAAGGCACTTTCCAGTTCACCAGATAATCCAGTCAGATTGATTCAAAGTTTTCTATCTAAGGAAAACCAGCTGATTGCATCGACTCATTGACTCTTCAGCAATCCCTCACACTAAGCATGCTTGTAGCGGAGTGGAGAGGAAAAACTCCCTTTGAACAGGAAGAAACCTCCAGTAGCGCTAGGCTCAGTGTGAGCTCTATATATGGCAATATTTTGACCAACTATCAAAATTAAGTGTTTGGATAAAAAAGCAAGTGTTGTATATGTGCATCAGAGGATATTGATCATTTAGTTATTTTGGTATCCATGTTATTTGGGGTTAGAGTCAGTCCACGTCTTCCACTGTGAGCGCTTCAACTACGAATAAGGTGCTGCGCCCCACAGCAAAGGGGCTCTATCTGTGGCGCTGCACAGCTAGCCCAATTTAACTCACTGTTTTAGGCAAAAAAAAATGTATTTTTTAAAATCGATACTAAGAACTGAAAGATCAATATTATATCGGGCGGCCAAAAATCATAAAATATTGCTAAACTGATTTTTTTCCCACATCCCTAGTATGGAGAGCCATTTCAGCCAAAATTAAATAAATAAATAAATAAATGGGTGAAATAAATAAAAAATGAGTAAAAAAAAAAGTAAAAAAATGAGTGAATAAAAAATTTGTTAAATAAATAATTTAGCTTTTTCATTAAACCAATTTTTTATTTATTTATTTTTCATATTATCAATTTCCCAATTTCTCTTTTTCATTTATCTATTTGTCATTTATCCCTTTATCCATTTTTCATTAATCTAATTTTCATTTAACCACTTTTCAATTTCCCTTTTTCATTAAGCCAATTTTTTTGTTTGTTTTTCAGATGATCTATTTCTCAATTTCTGTTTTATCTATTTTTCATTTATCTATTTTTCATTTGTCCATTTTTCATTTATCCCTTTATTTATTTACCCATTTTTCATTAATCTATTTTTTAATTTAACCATTTTTCAATTTCCTTTTTCCATTAACCTGATTTTCTATTTCCCAGTTTCATTAATCAGTTTCTCATATATCCCTTTTTTTACTTACCCATTTTCTTTTATCTATTTTTCATTTACCCATTTTTCATTAATCTCTTTATCTAGCTTCTGCTTTAATATGATAATGAGGGGCGGTGTCTTCAGGCTACAATGGCAGCCTATTGGTTGGTTAGATGCAACTGCAGCGCTCAGTTCCTGTGGACTTTCCCTCCGAAAAGCAGTCTAGAAATGGCGAATACAGAGGGTGCAGCATGTTCTGTAATTCGATCGGCAGCTTCCCTAAGAAGAACTGATACAGAACGTGCTGCACCCTCTGTATTCGCCATTTCTAGACTGCTTTTCGGAGGGAAAGTCCACAGGAACTGAGCGCTGCAGTTGCATCTAACCAACCAATTGGCTGCCATTGTAGCCTGAAGACACCGCCCCTCATTATCATATTAAAGCAGAAGCGAAGAGGGGAAAATAGAATGTGATAAATTAAAAAATAAGGAAATACTTAATGAATAAGGGAAATTGGAAAATGGGAAAATTAAAAAATTTTCAAACAAATAGTAAATGAAAAATAGATAAAAGAAAAATTGGTAAATAAAAAAGGGATATATGAGAAATTGATTAATGAAACCGGGAAATAGGAAATCAGGTTAATGGAAAAAGGAAATTGAACAGTGGTTAAATTAAAAGATAGATTAATGAAAAATGGGTAAATAGATAAAGAGATTAGTGAAAAATGGGTAAATGAAAAATGGATAAAAGAAAATGGGTAAGTAAAAAAAGGGATATATGAGAATTTGAGTAATGAAACTGGGAAATAGAAAATCAGGTTAATGGAAAAAGGAAATTGAAAAATGGTTAAATTAAAAAATAGATTAATGAAAAATGGGTAAATAAATAAAGGGATAAATGAAAATGGACAAATGAAAAATAGATAAATGAAAAATAGATAAAACAGAAATTGAGAAATAGATAATCTGAAAAACAAATAAATAAAAAAATTGGCTTAATGAAAAAGGGAAATTGAAAAGTGGTTAAATGAAAATTAGATTAATGAAAAATGGGTAAATGGATAAAGGGATAAATGACAAATAGATAAATGAAAAAGAGAAATTGGGAAATTGATAATATGAAAAATAAATAAATTAAAAATTGGTTTAATGAAAAAGCTAAATTATTTATTTAACACATTTTTTATTTATTTCACTCATTTTCTTCATTTTTTGATTTGTTTTTAACTCATTTTTTATTTATTTCACCCATTTATTTATTTATTTAATTTTGGCTGAAATGGCTCTCCATACCCTAGTGTTCTTCATTAGATTCTGAGTAAAGGTATCAATAAATTTGATTTAGCAGTTTGCAGCTTAGTGGGGCACTTTGTGTCAGCTGTGGTTGTTTTAAAGTATTAATAAACAAAGTTGGTTTGTTATTCAAAATAAGAAAAAAACGTTTTCTTTTTTATTTTTACAATTTAGTGTTTTTATCATTGAATTTCTTTCCTGAATTAGTATTTAGTTGTTATTTATTTGTATGAAAGAGCTATTAATGTTAGTTAAACTAGTGAACTTCCTAAAGGTTTTACTAACTTCAATACAAACAGCCATCTGAATAAGGAGAGATGCTAAATGTGGTGTTTTATACAATATTCATTCCTGTCATAATCAGATTCTTCACCAATTTTAAATTGGTTCCATTGACCTGCTGACGGTAGGCTTTTTGGCAGAGGGACATTATAATGGCTTAATCTCGGATAAAGAAGGGAACGTTTCATAAGCGTTACTCTGGCCAGGAAAAGGAATGCTGTGACAGCTCAGAAACAACAACGTTCTTACAGAGCATCAATTTACAACATGTCAACTCAAGGCAAATCAAGAAAATCAATTTCCCATCCAAGGAAGACCAGCTGATTATATTTCAATTATTGACTCTCGGGATCGGTGAGCTTGTAGTGACAGTGGATACTTCTTTGCATTGTGTTGCTGGCCTTGCAGCAATCCCTCACACCAAGCATGCATATAGTAACAGTGGAGAGAAAGTAGACATAGAAGTGGAAGAAAGAAGCACTAATCCAAAAAATGTTTTGCAGGTTAGAAATTGTAACTGTAAACTCCATAGTCAGCTCTGTCAGGTAAAGAAACAGTGAAGCAGACAAGCTTGGAGATGGTTTTCATTTAAAAAAGGATGAAAAGGAACATTCAGTTAGTCACTGTAAAAGCTTTCATCTGTGATTGAAGTCGTTGAGAGTGGCGGTTGAGCTGATGCTTTCCTCCATGATGGTAGGACTGCTAAGAGAATAAGGCCAGATGAAGCTGCTGTGACAAGAAAAAGAAGAAAAACCCTGAAGTTTGAAATAATGCAAATGATGCAGAATTGGAAAATAGAGATAGAATGATAAAAAGGGTCACCAATGTCCTCCAGCAGTCCAACCCCCAAACATAGCTGAGCTTTAATACACACAGAATAACATTTGTGTACTTAAGAATTAAAGTAGAGGTATAACTTTATTTTGTAATGTGACACATATAAAAAATTATACAATTACAAAAAACCAAAGTTACATTGCACAAACACTTTTGCAACAATAGTTCTGGACCATTTGGAGCAAAACTGAGAATGTAAGGTATTTTCGATGTGTAACATGTACAAAATAATTTGTGTACTTGTACTTAAAATTTGAAAAGGTGTACAAAAAAATATTACTTCTGAGTTTTTGTTTTTTTTTTTAACTCAGATTCCAAAGCTTATAATATAACTCTCTCTGCAACTTGAAATTCACACTTACAATGCACAAATAGTTTTGATTAGAAAAAATAACTTCATAATAATGATTTAAAATAAACATTTAATCCATATGAAAAAGCCAAACACTATCCTTAAGATGTAAATAAATAACCAGGCAGCAGAAGGTGATGCTGTGATGTACGGTGAGGAACTCTGGTGGATTAAAGGACTGTGCCTTTTAACCATTTAGTACATACCAGGCTAAACATTTAACTTAAATCGTTTCAGTTTAGCTCCAAAACGGACATTCCAGATTCCACTGTAATAACCTGCTTACCATTGATGGAGGCACGGGACGTCATGTTACAAAAAACAAACACGCTCTTCCTTTTAATTGTAGTAACTGCAGCTCTTTTAGGGATTTTGTGCTCTCAAAGCATTTCCTTTCTGGATTAAGCCATTGTGAAGCGTGTAGGTCGACAGAAGCTGGTTGCTGACGTGGGGCCTGCTGTTTAGTCGGGCTTTAGTAGACCTGCTTCATTCCAGTGAGGTGGAAATGGATCTGTGCTGAACCCAGGGAAAGCATAGACCTCAACTCTGCAAGATGATTCCTGGAGTTTATTGCTTTGTTCTTGTGTTGGTAGATGAAGCCTGCAATTAAGCTTTATACAAGCAGAAACATTAGAAATTCAATAACATACAGACATCGCAAGAAAATAAGAAATTCAACTTTTAGAATGTTTTTAAATAATTATAACTTTTCTTTAGCAGAAATATTAGTCGGTTTATAAATTTGAAATATATTTCCAACTGTTTTTCATTGGAAATGAAACGCTTTCATCTTTTTTCAGTAAGGAGGGGCCAGAGCACGTCTTCTCCTTCAGCCCGCTGAAGACATTCAGTCATGCTTTTCCTAAATTGGAAACTGTAGAGAAGCTGCACTGGATGAGCAGCTCTGCTGCTGTTTTAACAGCACAGATATGAGGCACTGAGGACTTCTATGATAGTTTTTATTTCTTCTTCTAGTAGAAAAGGGGGGAAAAAAAGCTTGGATGTGTACTGCGGATCTATCAGAGCTCCTGTGTGCCATTATTCAATTCCTCCTACTCAACAGGGTGTCATCTTTCCCACTCAGCTGAAATTGGAATTGACTGGATATTATCCCTGCGATGGACTGGCGACCTGTCCAGGGTGGACCCCGCCTCTCGCACGTAGACAGCTGGAGATAGACAGCAGCACCCCTTGGGATAGATGGATAAATATTATCCCCCTCCAATATTTTTAGTCCTCATATTCAGCTTATTCCTGGTATCTCATCTCAATTTAGGATAACATTTCAGATATTATTTCATTCATTTGTTTTCCAATTTTCATGTTATAGACTGTTGACTGAATATGTTCCACATAGTAAACAACTTTGAGTTTATACAGTGGAATAGAAGTGACCTTTATGAGAGATTTAGTGAAGAAATGCCTGTATCTGATGCAAAGCTATTAGGTAGCATAAACAGGAACAGTTAGGACAAAAAAATCTGAAAAAGAATAAAAATCCAAAAAGGTACATACAGGAGAGGAGGCTAGGCTACATGCAAGCAGGAGAAATGTTCAACTATTGGCCTAGATTCCTTTACAGGACGGGGCTTAATTTCTCTGGGCCTGAGAATTATTTAGGGGGGAGGGAGGTTCTGGTTTGGTGGCCTGTGTTGGGCTTGTGCTGCGGGTCGTCTGGTCCGGGTGCGGGATGGGGGGTCGGGTCCGAAGCAGGAACTGGATAGATTGGACCATGGCGGTGACACCGCTCCGAGGGGCACGTCTTTGGCTCTTCACAACCACTGTTGAGCATTTTTCCTTTGGATAAACGTTACTCTTTCTTTCATATTTTCTCCTTTTTTCTATTTTTCCTTTCCTGTTCTACTTACATCGCAGTGTGCATATAATCTGTAAAACTCCCTGCATGAACTATAATTAAACTATTTATATGCATAAATCAAGCAGAACACTATGGCGATAGCCGTACTGCTCCACTTGTGAAAGTAAAATCTGTTGGGCTCTTTTTGGCATCAAGACAATTATTCTTATCGCCACATTGCCAGAAAGGGACACTGTTAAAAAAAATTATCAAAAAATAAAACATAGATTGTTACAACAAATGAACATCCCCACCATGGTTGAGTTTCTTCTGGAAGAAAGGAGAAGAAAGTCCTGGTAGTAGATCACATTCTGGACAACTGGGACAGTTCCATTGAAAAGCCAACTCACCATATCCACCAGGCTATACACACAATGACCGAGATTAAGAATTTATATAACTAATGGGCACAAAACCTGCAAGTAACAACAGTGTTTAAACTTCTCGCCATGTCCAAACCTCCCTGCTTTATTGATACTGAGTTATTACTGGATTTGGGTCTGCTGAAGGCAAAATGTTCACCTAAAGAAACAACAATTTTTCAATAAATTTGACCTTACAAATTTGTTCCGGCTGGAAAAAACAATGGAAAAAACCTGGACAAAAACCGCCTATTTGATTCTAGCAGTCTCTTCCAACCCTGATCCCCACAGAGGACCCAGCATCCGGTTGAGGTTTCATGGGCAGGGACCTATGAATGTTCCTGTCCTATGAACTTTCTTTTGTTGCTGTCCCCAGTCTGACTGGATGCTCACATCACTTTCTGTTCTGTGTTTGGCTCAGATGAACAGCTGTGCAGATTTTATCCCATTCTTTAAGAGCACAGATTAGGGGTTTGTTTGCTTTTATCCGTGGATTCAGTGATGTGGGCCATTATGCTTTATGGCAGATTGACTTAGATTGTGCAATCAGGCGATGACAGACTCTGACACTTCCTACCTATTTATAGCATCATGCCTGCTTTTTTTTATTTATTTTTTACTCTTGTTTTATTGAGTACATTTGGAATTTTTTATACATCCATCAGAACCATTTCTCCAGTATTCTCAACCCAGATACCCAAACTGTTCACTACACTTCATGCATAAGCTAAATGGCAAAAATACTCTTTGTAATCTTGACATTTTATCCTAGCTCAAATAGCCTCATAACAGCAATAAAAATCCCATCCAGTTCCTTTCTTCTGTTATCTTTATTTAACAAATGACAAAATCTGATCTCATTGGTGATATAAATATGTAGAATGGGAGGCAGATCTTTTAGTTATCAGGCTCCTCTCCTGTGGAACCAACTACCAGTTTTAGTCTGTGAGGCAGACACCCTGTCTACTTTTAAGGCTAGGCTTAAAACTTTCCTTTTTGATAAAGCTTCTAGTTAGAGTGGCTCAGGTTATCCTGAGCTATCTCTATAGTTATGCTGCTATAGGCTTAGACTGCTGGAGAACATAGGGACCCCTATTTCATCATCCTGCTTCATTCTATCTCTATGACAGTTTTCTTTTGTATCTATGCTTCTTTTTCTATGTCTGCTTCTGTCTCCTTGAACCCCAGTCAGCCTCAGCAGATGGCCGCTCACACTGAGCCTGGTTCTGCTGGAGGTTTCTTCCTGTTCAAAGGGAGTTTTTCCTCTCCACTGTCGCTTCGTGCATGCTTAGTGTGAGGGATTGCTGAAGAGTCCATGAGTCGATGCAATCAACACTTTGAATAAATCTGACTGGATGATCTGGTGAACTGTAAAGTTCCTTGAGATGACATGATGTGAATTGGCGCTATAGAAATTAATTTAATTTAATTGAAATTGCACCCAGTTTTTTTCAATTTTTCTTAAACTTTCCTGATTCTTATCTGAAGGAAAAAGTTAGCCTTTCCATCATATAAATATTATGCATTACTTCAACCAAATTTCAGCTAATTCCTGGTTATAGCTTTCTCACCAGACACCAACATGATCCTGAAAATATATTCATTCTTGTCAACCTTTCAATCCCTCTTCCCATGTTAAAAGTGTCAAATGTTCCTTATGCCTGTTTTTATGTCCGCAGTATGGCAGAGGTCCCCTGCACTTGGCTGCCCACAAAGGTCACCTGGAGGTTGTGCGCATCCTTCTGAAAGCTGGCTGCGACCTGGACATTCAGGATGACGTGAGTTCATGGAGTCGGCCATGTTGGCCTTGGCTGCTTTTAGTTCTTATCACCACTTCCTTTCCTACCTGATGACGGTTATCAGCAGCTGCTTCTTTTTTGCTTTCAGATCCTTTTGGGTTGGAAAACCCGTTTCAACTCTAAATTAATGTGATCACAATAATAACTAATGGCCTTCGGTGGTCTTGAATGGGACCCTCTGGAATGCCCCCTTGTGGGAGTGCCTGCAGGATGCCTGCCCGTTTTCCACGCAGACAGTGATAACCCAGATCCTTGGCATTGTCAAGTTAATTCGCTGTGGTCAGTGAGCGCTGCGACAAGATGCAGTTTATCCTCCACGACTTGGGGGAGCAAACTTAAACAGGAGGAAGAGGAAAAGGAGGAGAATCAGGGAAGAAGAAAGTGGAGAAAAGTTGGGAGAGACACTGACGGATCAGAGGGAGTGAAGGAGGTTAGCCAAGCCTACTGTGAATGAGCGGGTGGAAATCTATGCCCCTTCCTCCATCCTTCCCTAAACCATGTCCAACCCTTCTCCACCGGAGCTAAAAGCTGGCTGGAAACCCCACTTTTCTCAGCTTTTCCCTCCTGTTTCTCTCAGTGCTCTTATGTCACATCTGGCCTGCTCAGTGTCCCTCTCTGCTAATCTGCTCAGCCTTTCCCATTATGGAGCAGCATGAGCTGCAGCTTTTAAACCATCTCTGCAATGCAATTGTATAATTCTGATCAAAGCAGTGCATTATTGTGCATGATCACTATTCCTATCATTTTTAACAGAATGAGTTGCTTTTATAACAAAGCTCCTTAAACTGGTGGAAGCAGAGAGTGGTTAGATTTCTGCAGACATGCTTGCAGCTAAGTACACCTGTCTTTGCACAAACCCAGTTATTTATGAGGGATTTACCCCCTTCTTTTTAAATCTGAGACATGCTAAGACCATTAAAGCTAATCCCTGCGCTGAACAATGCCTGAACATGTGTGTTTGTGTCCAATCAGGTCACTCCCCTGCAAATCATGCCACCATCTTTATCTGAGACTGGCAGCTGTTCCTTATAATTTAGTCACATTCTCTTCTTGTCGCTGCAGTTTTAACAGAAAAGAGTCGGCTTTATAAGTCAACAGGTTGCCATTTCTGTAAGCAGAATAAAGTCCTAGTTGTTGCAATGTCTTAATCTGAAGGGAAGCTTTGCATGAATTTATTTTGTATATCTTTAAAGAGCTTCAAAGAAAGGAGAAGCACTGCTGATGCTGGGATGGATCATGTATGTTTATTCAGCATAAGCCTTTCATTACGTGTTCGTTGCATTTTTATTATGTTGCATGATCTGCAGAAAGGTACATAAACATTGGCTGATGTGGAACAAGTGAGATGAGATCCGTGGTCTGTGAGTTCACATTAGAAAGCAGCATCGTCTACTAGTGACTCCCTGCTCATACAAACATGTTAAGGACGGTACAACATTTGAAGCACGGGGAAGTTCTAGCTCCATGTGCTGAAGCTCATAGACCCTGGGAACCTGGTGGATTTCCTTGGATAATGTCAAAGAACAGAGCGATCCATGATGGTGGGATTTGATGTTGGATTTATTGTAGAACTGTGAACTGAATGGTGCGTCCTCTGAGCCTTCATTAACCAGCATGACGCGTGTAAATGGGACGTCAGTCACTCTATGGAGGTTGGCAGTTTTTTAGGTGAATATCTGATCCAGTGAATTCTTTTATTCTAACATTTTCAGTGTTTCTTTTTTTGCTTGTTCAGCCTTGAAAATCAGGAAAGAAAAGCAATGTTGTGTCTCTGCCATTTATAAGATTCACAGTCTCCATGATATCCAGCCTGTCCTTCTTTTTCTGCTACTTTGGGATTCTTTTGTTTTGTAGTAACCCTATAACCCTAACCCGTTCAATTATAGAGGCTATAAAGTGCAAAATCATAGTGAAACTTTGAACTTCAATCCAAAATGGCCGACTTCCTGTGGGGTTTAGACCATGGCTCCAAGAGACTTTGTTGCAGGTCCTGGTGGGTTACAAGTGTGCCAAGTTTCATTATCCACAGTAATTGCATGGCTTGGGGCTGGTTGTTTTAGTCTTTCTAGGGGTGCTGTAGATAAATTAAGCCCCGCCCACAAACTATTGGGGAAATGTTCAACTATTGGCCTAGATTGAATCTAGGCCAATAGTTGAACATTTCTCCTGCTTGCATGTAGCCTGTTTTCCTCTCCATCAGCAGCCACTGCTGGGCATGTTAACATCTTTTCTCTGTTTGAGGATTATTTGGTGAATTATGTTGATTCTTCCCACCTTGGACTGCCACCTATAGTAGTAGCCTGTTAATACCTGTATGTACTTTCAGATTTTTTATTTGCGATCCTCTTAGGAATGTCTCAGGACATTTGAACGTGGGTATTGTCCTTCTCTGTAATACTTTATTTACTGTCAATACCAGTGATGAACATTGGAGATGCTGATGCTGCAGGGTTTTTCTTTAGTGCTGCAACTAACAATTACTTTGCAAATCGATTAAACTATCAATTATTTTTTTGATTAATAGTCGGAGAGCTAAAGTTTCTTTAAATAAGATTTTTTAATGAAATTTAAACTAGGTGAAAATAAAGCCTTTTCCACTTGGGGAGTTCTAGATGGAGCAGATTGACAGCAGATTATCTTAAATGCAAAAAGTTTATATATATTTTTTTACAGTCCTATACTACAGTTAATGATAAATCAATTGCTAAATTAGTTGATGATTATTCCAATAATCGATTTATCTGATTAATCGTTTCAGCCCTAGCTTTCTTTCTGATGAGAAAGATGTGTAGCTCTGTGTCTTTCTTAATCTCTTGATGGATATGATTGCATCGACTCATTGACTCTTCAGCAATCCCTCTCACCAATCATGCTTGTAGCGACAGTGGAGAGGAAAGACTCCCTTTGAACAGGAAGAAACCTCCAGCAGAACCAGGCTCAGTGTGAGCGGCCATCTGCTGAGGCTGACTGGGGTTCAAGGAGACAGAAGCAGACATAGAAAAAGAAGCATAGATACAAAAGGCAACTGTCAACCAGCTCCACAGGCGGCCCCGTCCAGGAAACGCACAGCCAGGCAGACGAGCTCTGAGCCAGCTCCCATGTCAGAGGATGAAGAGAGCACATCCAGTTAGTCACAGTCAGAGAAACAGGACTACACTGGAAAACAGGCCAAGCTCCAACATCTAGAAACAAAGGTGTTGATGGCAGCAGCAAGCTGATATTTCTCTCCAGGATGGAGTCACAGAGATTGAACTAACAGATTCTGCAGAGCGGGAGAATAGAGATAGAATGATGAAAAGGGGTCCCTATGTCCTCCAGCAGTCTAAGCCTATAGCAGCATAATTATAGAGATAGCTCAGGATAACCTGAGCCACTCTAACTATAAACTTTATCAAAAAAAAGTTTTTAAGCCTCACTGGTTCTGCTATAGGTCTAACCAAGGGTTGTCAAAGTGTTCCAGAAAGGGCCGTGTAGCTGCGGGTTTTCTTTCCAGCCAAGCAATAGCACACCAGACTCCAGTCATCTAATCAAAGGAGCCTAATCTGAACATGATGACTTGATGATATGAATGGAGTCTGGTGTGCTGTTGCTTGGCTTGAAAGAAAACGAAAGTTACTACCGTAACTACGGTTCTATGAATCCCGGATGACCGCCAGAGGCGGTGCTTCAAGCACTGAATGATCATTCATGCGCATGCGCAGGTCGAGTATTAATGACAACAAAGTCAGCTGTGACCTGCCGGGGACCCACGTGACTCTATATAGTCACGTGGCACCCGGCAATCAATCCCTCAATCTTCTCGTGAAAGCAGAGATTCCGAGGGACCAAGCACTCTGGCAGTCATCCGGGATTCATAGAACCGTAGTTACGGTAGTAACTTTCGTTCTATGTCATCCCTACTGACCGCCAGAGGCGGTGCTTCAAGCACTGGATGACTCATATCAACAAGGTCACGAGGAATCAGCAACATTCAAGGAACAACGACTACACCACCCACCTAATGTGATGTAGAGGCATGCTGCTCGAGGATTCCCTGAAGCGGATGGGGCGCAGCCACATTCACCCTGTAGAACCGAGTAAAGGTACTAGGTGATTTCCAGGAGGCTGCACGGCATATAACATCCAATGGCACCCCAGTCATAGCAGCAAACGATGTCGACATGCCCCTTGTAGAGTGGCATTTCACTCCCGCCGGCAGTGGCCGGTCCTGCAAGGCATAAGCCTTGGAGATCAAATCCACAACCCAGTGTGCAAGTCGCTGCTTAGAAAGTGCCTGACCCTTCCGTGAGCCAGCGTAGCAAACAAAAAGGCTATTTGTCTTTCGGAAGGATGCCGTGGCATTGATGTATGTCTCAAGGGCACGAACAGGACACAGTGGTTCAGAGGGACTTCCGGAGTCAAACCGGGCAAGATGGAGAGGCTGGGTGCTGCCTGCTGGCAGTGATACCTTAGGAATAAACGCTACGTCAGCCCACAGTGTAACGCCTGAGCCATCAGGATTCCACCGGCAGCAGGGTTCGGCTATCGAGAGAGCCTGTAACTCCCCTACACGTTTTGCGGAAACCATAGCTAAAAGGAACGCAGTCTTCAGTGAGAGCCATTTGAGGTCCGCCGACGCCAGGGGCTCAAATGGGAGGGACCGAAGAGCCTCAAGCACAAGAGAAAGGTCCCACGCCGGTGCCACAGGGCGGTTGGGTGGGTGCAAACGCCGAGCACCTCTTAAAAACAGTACAACATCCTTGTCTCGGCCCACAGAACAACCATTCAGCCCAACATGCCAACAGGAAATGGCAGCCACATACACCTTTAAGGTAGATGGAGACCGTCCTTGGTCCAGCAATGCCTGCAGGAAGGTCAGTATGTCAGAAACTGAACACTGAACCGGGTCCTGCCCTCTATCACGGCACCAGGTGGCAAAGACCGTCCACTTGTTAGCATAGACAGCTCGCGTGGACGGCGCCCATGCATTAGCCATTGTATGCCCTATGGACCCAGTGTATCTCGAGAAGGTGGACCCCGGCCTTGCAGGGGCCAAATCCAGAGCTGGAGCCGGTCTGGTTCAGGGTGCAAGATCTGACCCCCCATCTGGGAAAGAAGATCTCTCCTGGAGGGGAGACGCATTGGCGAGCCGGAGCTGAGCTCGCACAGTAGAGGAAACCAAGTCCTCGCTGGCCAGTAGGGGGCCACCAGCAGGACCCTGTGCCCCTCCTGACGTACCCTGAGGAGAGTCTGAAAAAGTAGGCTGAATGGCGGAAAGGCATAAAGGAGGGTCCGGGGCCAGTCGTGTGCCAGAGCATCGTGGCCCAGAGGGCTGCTGTTGTCCAACGAGAACCAAAGGGGACAATGAAATGCGTCCCTTGAGGCAAAGAGGTCCACGTCCGCCCTGCCAAAGACCTTCCAGATGCACTCCACCACCTCTTGGTGAAGCTTCCACTCCCCTGGAAGCGGCTTCTGACGGGATAGAAAATCTGCTGGCACGTTCTCCGGCCCTGGGATGTAGGCTGCTCTGAGGCTGGCTATGCGTGGAGCTGCCCAGGTCAGAAGCCGTCGAGTCAAGCACAACAGTTTCCTTGACCTCGTTCCCCCCTGGTGGTTGATGTGAAAGACCACTGTGGTGTTGTCTGACCTCACCAGCACGTGCTTCCCCCGCAAGCACGGAAGAAAGCTCTGAAGAGCCAGAAGTACAGCCTGTAACTCCAGGACATTGATGTGTTCCCTGCCCTGCCGCTGGGACCATGTCCCCTGTGCCATTTGACCCCGCCAGGTTGCACCCCAGCCCGTGGAGGATGCATCTGTAAACACAACTTCCCGACGACACGGGAGGGAACCGAGCGGGACCCCTGTGGTCATAAACAACCTCACCCTCCATTGGGACAGAGACTGAAGACACTGAGGCCCCACCCGAAGTCTTCGGAGACGATGAGTGTTCCGTGTGGGATCCAGATTCAAGCTGTTCAACCACATCTGGAGGGGCCGCAATGACAGCAGCCCTAAGGGCACTACGGTGGACGCAGCTGTAAGCATGCCCAAGAGTCGAAGATACCGCACAAGAGGCAGCGCCATGCCGCGCCTGAATTCCGGGAGCACGCTCAATATACCGTCCACCCGCTGGGGTGACGGGCAAGCAGTCATTGAGATGGAATCCATGGCAATGCCCAGGAAGACAGTCTCCTGTGAGGGAGTCAGACTGCTTTTCTCCATGTTCACCTGCAAGCCCAAGCATCCCACATGATGGAGCACTAACCGAGTATCTCGAACCGCCTGGTCCCACGTCGCAGCACAAATGAGCCAGTCGTCCAGATATGGGAGGATCCTCAATCCCTGTGCCTGCAGAGGAGAGAGAGCCGCTGCAACACATCGGGTGAACACCCTGGGGGACAGTGAAAGTCCGAACGGGAGGACCCTGAACTGGAAATGTCTCCCTTGAAAAGCAAAACGAAGAAACCGCCAATGGGGCGGAGCGATCGGAACGTGAAAATAAGCATCCCTGAGATCTATGGAAGTGAACCAATCGCCCGGGGAAATCGCCTGCAACACTTCCCTGGTGGTCAGCATATGAAAGGGCATGGCCTTCAAGTACACATTCAGGCCCCTGAGGTCCAAGACTGGACGCAGGCCCCCGGTCTTCTTCGGAACCAGAAAATACGTGGAATAAAAGCCCCCTGGATCCAGCAAGGGGTCCACAGGCACTATAGCACCCTTGGCCAGCAAGGTGCAGATTTCTTGGTTCAGTGCCTGTGCCTTCACTGGGTCATGGATCACAGTCATCCTGACCCGGCCAGGGATAGGTGGCCGGCGGCGGAATTGAAGACGGTACCCCCGGGACAGGGTGGACAACACCCACAAGTCCGGGGTGTGGGCAGCCCAGAAGCTGAGCTGTTCCGGGGAAAAATAACCGACCGCCGGCCCTAAGGCATCATCTGCGGTTCCCCCGGCCCTTCGAAGGCCCGGGAGGGCACCGGCCAGACTGCGCGGCCCGAAAGGGATGAAAGGACCTTGTTCCAGCCTGGTCTCGAGCTCTGTTCCTCCGATCTAGAGCAGGTCTCTGGACCGATCTCTGACCTGGTAACAGACCCTGGGGCTCAGTGGGAGAAGGAGAAGGCACTAAGGACCTCCGTGAAGGACCCGCAGCTGCCCAGGTGCTTACTGGCTGGCGATCACGTCTGTGAAGCCCTACCAGCTGTTGCCTCGTTCTAGAGGCCTGAGCCGTATGGTCCAAGGCGTCCAGTGCCGCAGAACCAAAAAGCTCTTCCGGGACCACAGGCAGGGCCCGGAGGGTCCTCCTACAAGGCTCAGTTAGTGGTGACTGCGCCAACCAGACCTGGCGGCGAGCATGAACCAGTGTGGAGAGTGTGCGTCCAAGTTCCCTCGTCATAAGAGCAAAGGCCTGCAGAGATGCATCAACCAGGCCTTGCGTGGCATGATCCAGCGGAACAGATTCCAAGGAGGAAGACAGGGCCAGCATAAGATGGGAGAGAGAGTTCCCAATCCGGCCCATGTGGGCCCCAGAGTCATAGGCCTTGCAGAGAAGGTCGTCGGTAATACGGCACTGAGGACGCGGACAACGGGCATTGGGCCGCAAGGCCTCATCAGGCGGGATTATAAGAGAGGCAATGCCCGGTTCCACCGCTGGCATCTGCCCCAAGCCAACCTTGGGTGCCTCCTGCATAGCTGCCAGGACCCTGCCATCCGTCGTCAGACGTGAAAACGCCTTGGTGTCTGACCAGCAAGCATGCAGTTCCCGCACATACTCCGCCGAGGGAGGAACCACAAAGGCAGTCTCTGACCTACTGCGCCTAAAGAAGGCGCTGGAGGCCGCAGGCTGGGCCTGAGGAACACTAATTTGTAAACGGGCAAGAGCCGTTCGAATAGCGGATGTCACAGACTCCCCCGTATCCTCCTGAGAGGCAATGGAGTCCGACCCAGAGGCCCCGGAGCCCAGCTCCGGAAGGTCCTCACAGAAATGGGTGCCAGAGGCCGCCACGGAAACAGCATCGTCGTCATTGACTGACGTTTCATCCTGCTCGGTAGGGAGAGCCGTGCCACGATCACCAGCAGTCTGAAAGGACTGGAGGAGGGCTTTCATTTGGGCCAGCTCAGCAGTGAGATGATCCACTTTCGTGGACAACCTCCCTGCCTCGGTCCGTCTAGCACGCTTTGTCGGTACCGAAGGTGCAGCCCCAGTAGAACGTTTGCACACCGCTTTCTCCATCGGCAAACGAGCACGCGGCGAAGCGCCCGCCCAGTCGGTAGGCTGCTCCAGTGCAGCCAACCGATCCAGTCTGACCGACCGGGGCATGACGCGACAGTTGGGGCAAGCGTCATCTGACAGCGCCTCCCGGAGATGTTCCACACCGAGGCAGGAGAGACACAAGTCATGCCCGTCATCGGGCTGAAGTGGAGCCAGACAGGTCGAGCAACATAAACTATCCAGCATCATACTGCTGAAAGGCGTGATCAGCCCGCTACCAAGGACAAGTCAACACGAGCAGGAAACGCTACTGGCGACTCGATTATTGAATAAGGATGAACTCAGCACGAGCAGAGACGCCACTGGTGAGTTTAGGCAAACAAACCAAAGAAGAACCCAACGCGAGCGGAAACGCTACTGGTGGGCTCAGGCAAATAAACTGAAAACAACTCAGCGCGAGCAGAAACGCCACTGGTGAGTGTAGATAAACAAACTATAGAAGAACCCAACGCGAGCGGAAACGCCACTGGTGAGTGTAGATAAACAAACTATAGAAGAACCCAACGCGAGCAGAAACGCCACTGGTGAGTGTAGATAAACAAACCAAAGAAGAACCCAACGCGAGCGGAAACGCTACTGGTGGGCTCAGGCAAATAAACTGAAAACAACTCAGCGCGAGCAGAAACGCCACTGGTGAGTGTAGATAAACAAACTATAGAAGAACCCAACGCGAGCAGAAACGCTACTGGTGGGCTTAAACAAACTGAAAACAACTCAGCGCGAGCAGAAACGCCACTGGTGAGTGTAGATAAACAAACTATAGAAGAACCCAACGCGAGCAGAAACGCTACTGGTGGGCTTAGGCAAACAAACTGAAAACAACTCAGCGCGAGCAGAAACGCCACTGGTGAGTGTAGATAAACAAACTATAGAAGAACCCAACGCGAGCAGAAACGCTACTGGTGGGCTTAAACAAACTGAAAACAACTCAGCGCGAGCAGAAACGCCACTGGTGAGTGTAGATAAACAAACTATAGAAGAACCCAACGCGAGCAGAAACGCTACTGGTGGGCTTAGGCAAACAAACTGAAAACAACTCAGCGCGAGCAGAAACGCTACCGTGAGTCAAAAGAGCCACAAAATTAACGTGGCAAATCAAAGCGAACAGTAAACCACTGCTGAGAAAAGAACGAAAACTTACCAGTCACCGCAGATCTGGTAAGGTGAAAGCAGCTTGTGCAGCCCCTGGAGGGCGAGACTTACCCGCAGCTCCGACCAAACCCGGTCACGGGGCTACCAGCAACAAGCAGCCAGGAAACTAGTGGTATACACAGAAGCAAGCAGCTTCACACGACCACACTCCTGTACTCAACACACCTGCGCGCGAGAAGAACAAAAGGGATTGATTGCCGGGTGCCACGTGACTATATAGAGTCACGTGGGTCCCCGGCAGGTCACAGCTGACTTTGTTGTCATTAATACTCGACCTGCGCATGCGCATGAATGATCATTCAGTGCTTGAAGCACCGCCTCTGGCGGTCAGTAGGGATGAAATAGAACCTGCAGCCACACAGCCCTTTCTGGAACCACTTTGAACAGAAAGGGTTAGACCACAGGTGTCAAAGAGAGTTTTTCCTCTCCACTGTCGCTACAAGCATGCTTAGTGTGAGGGATTGCTGAAGAGTCAATGAGTCGATGCAATCAACTGGTTTTCCTTAGATAGAAAACGTTGAATCAGTCTGGCTGGATGATCTGGTTACCTGTCTCTGTAAAGGGCCTTAAGATGACGTCCTGCAAATTGGCGCTATAGAAATAAACTGAATAGAAGTTACCATGTGTCTGCTTCTGTTATTGTGCATTAAACCAATATTGATATTGGATAAACCTGTGCTATAATAGTAAAGTGCGACCATCAAACTTACATTAAACTGATAACTGTGTTCATGGCGAGTCAAAGAGGTCTGAGGATTTGGATTTCTATGGTTTTTGCATGAAGGAAGGAGCATGTGTGATGAGTTTCAGAAGCGTCTCTGTGATCCACTCAGTCTGCTTCGCTGTCCTAACTGCATCCCCTATGATGGGAGCTGAACAAAGACGGCATTAGCTGATAATTACACAATATTAAAGGAGCTTCACTGCTGCTCTGATGTTTAGATGTGCTTTAGATGGACTAAGATGGGGTAATTGAACTAGCCATGTCATCAAAGCAGGAGGCTTTACTCACTGCTGTGTGTCTCTGCAGGGGGAACAGACAGCCCTGCACCGTGCTGCTGTGGTGGGAAACTCTGATATTATCAGCATACTCATCCAGGAAGGGTGTGCACTGGAGAGACAGGATAAGGTGAGACTCACACTCCTCCACATGAACACATGGAAGGCCGTTCATGTGCATCCAACCCAGCCATGCTCCTCCTGAGCTGCTCAGTGTTTCCCTTTGAAAGGTGGCAGTACTGGAACTCAGAGGTTTCCAAAGTGGGGCTGATTGAAATGAACTGAATAAATAACACACTTTTTAGATATACATATAAAACTATGTGATGAAAGCAATGTTGAAATATGTTAAACAGCAAAGGAAACCCTTTATATGGCAAGTTAGCAATATTGATCACTTGCATCCCCCTAACAAATGGAGCCCCCCCCCCCCGTCCCTCAATGAGGTCTAGAAGCACTAGATCTATATCCAGCCATTCAGCAAAGATCTTCCTACATGGCTCTACATCTTATTTTGGCATTTGACCAATTAGATGAGCCCTGAATGATGAATTACCTGCTGGAAAGTAAGTTGGAAAAAAAAAGTTAACTCAAGAAAAAAGGTAAAAAGCTCATTGAAAAGTTAAAAGTTAAAAAGTTACTAGGTCTAGTTAACAATTATATTTAGGTTTATAAACTAAAGAATTTAAGGTCCAGTATCAGCATTAATGCCTCTGAGGTTATGTTGTACCAAAAAAATGTGTTTCTTTCACTAGAAGCACTTTTGTTATTTTTCTTTATATATTCGGGCAAGTTGTTGTTTCTTTTTATTACATTGACATTCATTTTTGCCATCAATATATCCATTTTTTTTATGTTACAAAGCTAATAAGGTTTTGTCATGGATTCCAATAACACTAATTAAAATCTTAATTTTCAAAGTATTTCACTGAGTGTCCTGTAAAGGGTTAAACTTTAGCTAACGAGTCCTCTAGCAGAGTTGAGTTTCTTGTGGAAGAGAGTGGTAGAAAGTCGTGCTAATGGATCATATTCTGGGGAACTGGGATTGCTCTATTGATAAGCCACCCCCACTATATCCACCAGGCTACATGAGGAGACATCTTTAGGAGAATACACACAGTGACACAAAATAAAAAGTTATATCATTTATTAAGTGGATGTAATTCACTGAAATAAATAATGCAACTTTTTTGGCATTTAATTAATCATATTTAGCTTCTTTAACACAATTGTTTCATGTCAGCAGGATAGGACATGGTGTTAAAGTAAGAAAATGGTTTTGACATTTATGATTAAGTAAATGCCAAAAATGGTTGCATTATTTTTTTCAGTGAATACACATCTAGATGAATGAATAAAGTGTTAAACTCTGCATTAAGACGTCCAGATCAGCAGCAACATAGCAGCAGAATACAGTTCAGTAGTTCAGTTCATTACAGAAGTGATAATTCACTAAATGCTAGGAAAACGTTTTATTCAGATTCCACCTGCTGGCTTTCTTTTTCTTTCATTTCTTCTGCTCTTCATGCTCCCAAACCTCCATGGTTTATAGATATTGAACCCAACCTCAGGGTTATTACTGGATTTTGGCAGCTTAAGGATAAATATTCACCAAAAAGAAACTAAACTTTGCAGTAAATTTGACCTTCCAAGTTTCTTCTGGAAGAAACCGTTTCTTACAGCTGGAAAAAATATGGAAAAATCCTGGAAAAAAAACGCCATCTGGAAGAAACTTCCACATGGGATGTAGTTTGGTGTTTTTAATTAGCTTCTAGTTTACTTTATTGCAATATGACAGTTAAGTAGTTGACTTTTCTACGTTCAACTGAAGGGAGAACCGGGCAGAAAGGATTGGGAAGCAGCTGTAGCTGAAGTCGCTGCAACTGTGGAAAGTTTTCATCTTTCATCTGTTCATTCCTTCCTTCTTCCTCCCAAAAAAGTTAAAAAACAATCCACTTAGTTTCCAAGTTTAAAGACGTTTTTCTTCCCATCCAAGAAGCTTTTTCAACTCAAAATGTCAGAAATAGCGTTGAGTTCGAGGCTCGTTTACAGTATCTGTCCTCTCATGATTCATGCAGCTATTATTTCATCCAAATGAAAAATGGAGAATAGAGAAGCAGATCATGGCTTGTCTACAGTGAAAAGAAGGACTGGGTTATTTACTTTGGCCTTTTTGGAAACACAGGAAGGAGCAATCAGCTAAGTGAGCTTAGTGCTTGGAAAAAATCTTTCATTCCTTTAGAGACAGCATGAAAAGTCAGCTGAGTACAAAACAGAGAGAGGAAAACAAGAAGAAAAGGGACAAGAAGAGAGGGACACAACCTAGAACAGATAATGGATGTCTATTCTAGGGCCCCAAATTTCCTAAATCCGCCCCTGTTTCCTGCAGCTAAAGCACTTCACCTGTTTTATTGCTGAGTTTAGATCTTATCTCCAAACCTTTCTGTAAAACATGCATTTTTCTTAACAGTTGATCCTTAAGGTCCTGAAACCTTTTATGGTGATAATTACCTGAGATGCTGCTCTTTTTTTTACTCCCTGCTTTGCTAGTAAAAGTCTGAGCTTTCTAGATTTCTGCCCACCAAGATCTCATGGCTCATCTAACATCGTTTTATGTCGTAACAGGCGTTTCACTGAGCTAAGGTTGAAGTAAAGTGTGCTTTTTGTGTTCCTGGCTCTCAGGACGGGAACACGGCCCTCCATGAGGTCTCCTGGCACGGGTTCAGTCCGTGCGTCAAACTGCTGGTGAAGGCTGGAGCCAACGTTCACGCCAAAAATAAGGTACAGTGTTCATTTTAAACACTGATTTTTGGTGTTTGTTTTTATGAACAGCACATTGGATAAATCTTTGGTGTTAAATGTACTATATAAATAAATAAAGTGGATTTACTGGATTGGATGTATTTAATTAATAAAAACATACTCAATGACCCAGGAAAGACTTAGTGGACTTACAGTCATTAGTATTAATAACAAAGTTGGCCAAGCGATGCCGTACGATGATGTCATGAGTGACTTTGCCTCCAGAAAAAACATTTTGAGGTCATTGTTGAACGCTTGCTCTGCTTAATTTTGCTTTCATTATTTAAGCATCTTTATTTGTAACATTTTGTTTTTGATTATATAATTTTTTGGTTTTTGGTTTTATTTAAAAGATTGCACATTTAATGCACATCTGCAAATAATTTGATATGTTTTGTGACGGTTTTTATTCAAAAGTCTTAATTAAAGAGTGATGTATTTTAAGTATAATTTATTTTGTATAATACATAACCTCACTGTATTTGTTTATAATATTCGCTATAACATAATAGTGTGACATTTGTGTCAATATTGTTCTAGCATAAGTGAGAAGCTCAAAGCCAGTCTTCATAGTTTGGTCAGTAGCCTGGTCAAAGGGTTTTAGGCCCCCTCTGCTGGTGTGGTGGGAGGGTGGCCCCCAAATCAATTTCTGCTTAGGGACGCCAAGAGGATCGGGGCCGGCACTGGATACATTATATTTGAGCAAAAACGTTACTGATGAAGGTACTGGCCAGATTACTGTCTGTATGAGCTGAATCTGACTTTTCTTATACCAGAGAAACTTCTCTGCCACGTCAGTAATGTTTTATCACTTCACCTGTAACCATTTGAATGATTTTACAACACCAACTTTAGGTTTGTTTATAGATCAGTTTTTATAGAAACAAACAGAATGCCCAAGGTGCTGAACAGGCATGACACGGGATGCAAAAACAGCCAAAAAAAGTAAATAAACAAAGATGGGGACAATTAGGAGAAAAAGGAAAGGCACAGATTAATAACCCAGGGGGACATGAAAACAAAGATTTCAACCAGGAAGGAAAAAAGAGACCAGAAAGCAGTAAAAACACAGATAAGAATAGATTTTATAAGTTAAAATGGACAAACAAACTAGAAATAAATAGACAAAAAGCAGCTAAGCTCCAAATGCCTGAATAAACAAAGAGTGACGACTTGAAGAGAGAAACGGACTCGGCGTACCGTCAACTTAAAGAAAGGTAGATTCCACTTTTCATGTGTTTTTGGTTATTTTGAATAGAAAATAAACAGTTCTCTATAAAATATTTAAGAACAAAATAGTTTACTAAATATACTGACTGCTAAATGTTTAGTTTTTTAGGATCAAAAGACAAACATTTCTTTTACTCTTAGACATGAAATTAAAATAAAAGATCCAGCTTACATTCATTACGGAAAAAGAGGATGATTTCAGGGCTTTGCAGGTTTCTTCTGAATTCATCCCCAACTTTTTGGTTAGTTGGAGTTGGACCTGTTTTTACATTTTAAGCCGCTCCCTAATATTCTCCAGAGGATGCCGCCGCCTTCAGTTCAAAAGGAGTAAAACCCAAAACCAGAGCAAGAAGCTGGCAGGATGGTGTCGCTTATTCAGTCATGATGACACCGTTACTCCTAGAGCTGCAGCTAAAGCTGCTCTTTAGATGATTTGATGAGGAAAAAATGTTACTCAGAAATACATGAAGCAAGATCTCACAGTATCAGTAACATCTATGTTAAAGGAGTAGGATGCAATCTTATTTGGAAATAAAAAAAGACGGAGTATAGAGACTCTAAACATGCCTTTAGCTGACAGAGCGACCCACTTAGAGCAAGAATTACACCAAGATTGAAGAAAAATCTATAAACATATTGCATTTAAAAAAAAAAAAAAAACGTTTCTGTCAGTCTGTTTTATCCAGAAAGTTTGAGTTTCACCTGGTTTAAATTCAGGAAAAAAAACATTCTTTATAGGGGTCATTGAATGCAAACCGAGTTTCCATCGCCATAGATGAATAACGATAGTTCAGTGGGTGAAATGGACGTACAGAGAAGTTCAAACCCCATCAACATCTACTTTATCTCAAATCTCACAATTCTAAACTTCCACCATAAAGCGTGTGAAACCAAACGAAGCCCCAAGTTTATGTAAACTCATGGATGTTGCCTTATGTGGTTCTGGCCTGTACTGTTGTCACGCCCTGAAATTGACATCCAGACCAGCCCACTGGTTCACGGCCCAAGAACATGAATAGAAGTAGATGGAAGACACCAGTTTAGCTGTTTAGTCTACAGTTGAGTTTACTTCTACAAGAATTACAAAGCAGGCTGAATGTCTGACCATCAATGTTCCTCCTGCAGCTGTTATTTGTGCAGCTGTAGTCACAGGAACACAGCTGCTTGGAGATGCTCTGATTGTCTTTATCTTTATCACGTTTCTATAATTTTCTTCCTAATTTCCCAGACAAGTCTTTCCTTTGCTTGCTCTGGTCCATGTTGAGTGTGGTACACGCCAGGTAACCAAACAACACACCTGTAGCCCTATATATAGGCCTGCTGACTGATTGCAAGGTCACTTTATTTTCAGTCTTTATTTCCAGGCCTGTTTCATGATTTTATTGTTTCAGTCATTCTGTTGAACCGTGGTTCAAAAGCAATTTCCGAATTTCATTTTTATTTATTTCTACTTTTGTCAGATTCCAGTTATTTGTGTGACGGCTGTGTTTTTTTTTTGTTTTTTTTTAAGAATATTATACAATTTTTCTTGTCCATGTGTATATAAAAATTGTAGCATGAATGAGCTTAACCCTCCCACCCCTGTTTCTGTAGGCAGGGAACACAGCTCTCCACCTGGCCTGTCAGAACGGCCACACTCAGAGCTCCAAGGTCCTGCTCCTTGGAGGATCCCGGCCTGACAGCAAAAACCATGTAAGTTTCTCCTGAAGGAGTACAAGAACCTGATATATTCACGGGGGTCAAAGGTCATGTGACTAGTGTAGAGACGACCATGCACACACCCACTTAACTCTGCAAACCGCTCTGAAGCAGCTCCCACGCATTCCTGAGAACCCAGAATAAATCTAATTTTGATCATTTATCATTTAATCACCTAAAAGAATTCAAAGCCTTGTTAAACATCTACAGGTACATCTAAAGCCATTTGAATGTTGCATAAAAATGCTGGTTTTTACCAGATGCCTGTTATTTCTGATATATAGAACCATATGACATGGCGTGTTATATTCCAGCCCTTGTTGTTGTTTTTTCATTTTGATAAAAAAAAAAAACTCAAAGCTCTGTGTCTCTAAAAACAAGAACACTGAGAAACTAAATTATTGGATACTGATCTAATCTGCTGATTGTCCAGAAGACGGTCATCACACCCTTCACAAGGAGAAGAAGCAACTAAAGGTCATCGCTGAACAGGCTGGTTGTTCTCAGAGTTCTGAGTCCAAACTTTTCCCAAAAACCTGAGTAGAAAGAAGAAGTGTGGCAGAAAAAGGTGCAACCTGAGAGTTCTGATAGTTACTGTTTACATTCCTCCGTCTGCACGCTCAGTAATCACCTCCACTGCTGATAAACTACAGACACAACAGCCACAAAGCATTTGTGGCAGTAAGCTGTGATTCGAATCACACTTCACTCATTGCTGTGCTGCCAACGTTCCAACAGCTGCTCTAGCAGAGAAAACAAACCTTTCAAATTATAATCCACTTTATAAGAGACAACCTGCATGAAAAAAGAACTGTAAGGAGATGGACACAGGAAGCTGAAGAAGCTCTGTGAGGTTACAGGCTGGGGTGCTCTGTGTCAGCCACATGGAGAGGACATCAAAGCAACCAAGCACCATCCCTACCAGACCAGTGAAAGGCTTCCCAGGTAATAAACCATGGATCACAAGTTTCACAAAGAAGAATTCTTCATAAAGTGAAAAAGATTATGGAAAACAGTGAGAATCCTCTTCAGAATACTGTTAAATAAACAGTGTCTTCAGTCAGAGGCTTCTACAGATCTGCTAGAAGACAGACCTCTACAGGAGATCCTTCCTGCCTACAGCATCAACACCTGGATTAAAAAAATAAGTTATGAGTTACATTTAATTCCCCTTTATGATTAATAATGGATTTTTTGAATTGAATTTGGAGTCTAATTTGAGTCTTTAGAGGTTGTTTGGGCTCCAAATATTTCATTCTGAACCACGACTGACCAAGCCTGAGGAGGAAAGGAACTGGACCGTTTTCAAATGAAAGCAAACTCTGCAGTTCATTTGGAAATCAAGGTCCAGAGTCAGAATTCATGTAGCTTCAAGTCCGTTCAGTTTAGTTCCACATCATCGACTAGTTCCTGTTCTTGGTTCGCCTGCAAAGCCCCTTTACCAGAACCCTGCAGAAACAACCTACAAGGCAGAGACCTGAAAGAACCCGGGCTCTTTGGACCTCAGCAGAACCACAGGCTGATGGCCTTTATGCCACCTCACACTGATGCAGCAGTTCCTGAGGAGGAACCAACCTGATCCTGATGTAGAGAAATGGATGTAAAACTATTCTGGTTGGTCCAGTGTGATCTTTTTATTTGTTCTGAAACACAAAGGACCTTTCTTTACCTCTAAGTCAAAACCATCAAAACCAAAGGCAATATTTGACCCCAAGTCTAATGAATCTCTATAAATGAGCCGATTCTTTGTCTGATAAAGAAAACACACTGGAAAAAATCAAAATCTAGATAAGTCCTTTTTTCTTAAATAAGTGCATTTTTTTTCTTGGATTGTCTTGTTCCATTGGCAAAGAGACATTTTGCCAATGGAACAAGACAATTTACACTTAAAATAAAAAAACACAATTACATTGTCTTATTTCAAGTGCATATTATCTACAGGTGCTGGTCATAAAATTAGAATATCATGAAAAAATAGATTGATTTCAGTAATTCCATTTAAAAAGTGAAACTTGTATATTATATTCATACATTACATACAAACTCATATATTTCAGATGTTTATTTTGTTTAATTTTGATGATTACAAATGACAACAAATGAAAATCTCAAATTCATCATATCAGAAAATTAGAATATTACTGAAGACCAATAAAAACAAAGGATTTATAGAAATGTTGGCCAACTGAAAAGTATGAACATGAAAAGTATGAGCATGTACAGCACTCAGTATTTAGTTGGGCCTCCTTTGGCCTGTATTACTGCAGCAATGCGGCGTGGCATGGAGTCGATCAGTCTGTGGCACTGCTCAGGTGTTATGATAGCCCAGGTTGCTCTAATAGTGGCTTTTAGCTCTTCTGAATTGTTGGGTCTGGTGTATTGCATCTTCTTCTTCACAATACCCCATAGATTTTCTATGGGGTTAAGGTCAGGAGAGTTTGCTGGCCAATTAAGAACAGGGATACCATGGTCCTTCAACCAGGTACTGGTAGCTTTGGCACTGTGTGCAGGTGCCAAGTCCTGTTGGAAAATGAAATCTGCATCTCCAAAAAGTTGGTCAGCTGCAGGAAGCATGAAGTGCTCTAAAACTTCCTGGTATGTGGCTGCGTTGACCCTGGACCTCAGAAAACACAATGGACCAACACCAGCAGATGACATGGCACCCCAAACCATCACTGACTGTGGAAACTTTACACTGGACTTCAAGCAACGTGGATGAAGTGCCTCTCTTCTTTTCCTCCAGACTCTGGGACCTTGATTTCCAAAGGAAATGCAAAATTTACTTTCATCAGAGAACATGACTTTGGACCACTCACCAGCAGTCCAGTCCTGTTTCTCTTTAGCCCAGGCAAGACGCTTCTGACGCTGTCTGTGGTTCAAGAGTGGCTTGACACAAGGAATGCGACAGCAGAAACCCATGTCTTTCATACGTCTGTGTGTGGTGGTTCTTGAAGCACTCACTCCAGCTGCAGTCCACTCTTTGTGAATCTCCCCCACATTTTTGAATGGGTTTTGTTTCACAATCCTCTCCAGGGTGCGGTTATCTCTCTTGCTTGTACACTTTTTTCGACCACATCTTTTCCTTCCCTTCGCCTCTCTATTAATGTGCTTGGACACTGAGCTCTGTGAACAGCCAGCCTCTTTAGCGATGACCTTTTGTGTCTTGCCCTCCTTGTGCAAGGTGTCGATGGTCGTCTTTTGGACAACTGTCAAGTCAGCAGTCTTCCCCATGATTGTGTAGCCTATAGAACTAGACTGAAAGACCATTTAAAGGCTTTTGCAGGTGGTTTGAGTTAATTAGCTGATTAGAGTGTGGCACCAGGGGCCATCAATTTTGAACCTTTTCACAATATTCTAATTTTCTGATATGATGAATTTGAGATTTTCATTTGTTGTCATTTGTAATCATCAAAATTAAACAAAATAAACATCTGAAATATATGAGTTTGTATGTAATGTATGAATATAATATACAAGTTTCACTTTTTAAATGGAATTACTGAAATCAATCTACTTTTTCATGATATTCTAATTTTATGACCAGCACCTGTAAATATCTTATTTTAAGAATAAAAATACTCATTCCATTGGCAAACTATCTCATTTAACTACTCAAATTAAGGGTAAATACACTTAGTTTACTTAGGTTGACTAAGATTTTTTTACTCATTTCTAGAGCATTTTTCCAATGCAAAATAATATATTGTAATTTTTGGCAGGTTCACCAGCAGGCCTGTTTGTTTGGCCTCATTAATTCTGTTTATCTCTGTAAGGCACAATGGAGGAAGATTTCAGGAGGTTTTGTGAAACAGATGTTTTTTGCCTTCAAAATGCAGTGTGACATCTGGCTGTATGCAGTTCACATCAGGCCACAGTCATCTTTTAATTTAGCTGCACAATTATGGCGAAATATTAAAAGCTAAAGGTTTCTACTCCGTGTTCAAAGCGTCCATATTTAACACAGTTACTCAGTTAGGTTATAAGAAGGAACGTAAAGCTGGTAGAGCAGAATGTGGGAAGTAGTTTGGATAATTTCATAGTTTGTTAGAGCATTTAAAGTAGAACTAGAAGAATAATTAAACCACGGCGGAATGTTTTGCACATTAGCATGTGCAGCAGAGAGGATGGACCTGAGGTCACACAGCAGACTAAACATCAGAAAACGTTGGCATTGACTTTGCTGCAGATGGCTGCAGCTGTAACTAAGGCTATCTGGGATGCTTTACTCATGTGGGAACCTTTTAGGAGCATCTAGTGTTATTAGGCTGCATCATAGCAGAAAATAATTAAATTCAGTTTATTTCTATAGCTCCAATTCACATCATGTCATCCCAAGGAACTTTCCAGTTCACCAGATCATCCAGTCAGATTGTTTCAAAGTTTTCTATCTAAGGAAAACCAGCTGATTGCATCGACTCATTGACTCTTCAGCAATCCCTCACACTAACCATGCTTGTAGCGACAGTGGAGAGGAAAAACTCCCTTTGAACAGGAAGAAACCTCCAGCAGTGGCCTAATACTGCATTTGTGCCTACGGTGTCTCCTCTTCACTGTAACCAGCCATTGCAGCTGGGTCGGTTTCAGCCTCAATCTAGTGCAACTGAGGATGGGTCTGAGTTGTTGTGCTCAGTAGGAGCGTTGGAGGCATACGTTGCAGCCACTATCAATCTGAGATGCTTGGACCAGCTTTTCTTAAGCTATGGGGGTCTGAGGTTAGGCTTTCATCTTTCCAAGCAGCGTCTGTCCCATAGGATTGTGAGTGTCATCTGCCACGCCTACGCTGCAGGTCACTGCTCCCTGCCAGTCGGTGTGAGAGCACATTCCACCAGGAGCGTCACCGCTTCCTGGGCAGCTTTGAGAGGGGTTCCGCTGGAAGCAATATGTGGTGCTGCTTCATGGGCTCCCCGACCACCTCACCAGGTTGTCAATGTGGCTGCCCCTCATCCCCTGGGTCAGGGCCTTTTACAAGGTTTCACTGGGTCTTCTCCATGAGATATGTGCTCAGGATTACTTGTGACATCGTTCTATGTCTCAAGGAATCCGTTCTATGAATCCCGGATGACTGCCAGAGCTTCTCTCACTCAGAATACTTGCTTCTGTGAGAAGACTCTGTAGGAGCAGAACAAAGGATGACACCAGGCTACATAGCTTCTGAGTGGTCATGTGGTGTCACAGGTGTGACTCTGTTGGTATAATTACTCAAACTGCGCATGCCCAAAGGGAACATTCAGTGCTTTCAGCACCGCCCTCTGGTGGTCATCCGGGATTCATAGAACCGTTGTTACATACGCAACTTTCTTTTTCCTTAGATAGGAAACTTTGAACCAATCTGACTGGATGATCTGATGAACTGTTAAAAGCTTTGAGATGACATGTGTTGTTAATTGGCACTATAGAAATAAACTGAATAGAATTGGATTACTACCACCACACCAGGTCTGACTGCTGCTGTCAAAGTTACTTTTACTCCAAAGACTCAATCCTTTCAAAGGGTTCCAGTTTCCAAACGGATCATTTTTTTACTCTGAATTCTGAAGTATAAAATAGATGTTCCAGTTGAATTCTATCGATACCAATACTCTTTATATTTCCTCATATGTCCAGTTTATTTTTGCTGAAAAAATGATCGAGTTTTTGTTTTGGTTTCGTGTGAGGCTGCTGTGGAAAGATACCAGGCAGTTGGTTAAATCCCAGGGCGGCGCAGGAAGCAGCATCAGCATTTTTCAGCTTATCAGCAGCCTGAGAGGAAGCAGGTGAAGGTCCTGTCTGTGCAGAAAGCTGCGCTGCACGCCATGAAGCAACAAACAATCACAGCTTTACACAGTGTGGGGGGGGGGGGGGGGGGGGGCTATTTAACTGTTTTCAGACTAGATAATGTCAATAAATCTGTTTTTCAACTTCTTTTGAATTGTTTTAGAAGCTTTTTGAGACTTTTAAGGCCTCAGCGTCTCTATGATAGTGGAGGGCCATCAGGCCGGTTGCACTTGAACACCTGCTGAATGGCTGCCATGTTCTGCAGAGCGACTTTAAACCGGCAGACAAAGACCAAACAGAGAAACAGAGAAGAGCCCCGGCTGTTTCTATTTGACTCTTAATGAAAAATAAAATTAATCACATTTGAAGAATTTCCTGGTGCTTGTCTCAGGGCAGCCGTATGGGGGGAGGGGGGGTTAGGAAGATTCAAAGGGCCTTTGTGTGAGGGGGCCACAAAAGAAGAAGATTTGTCCCGCTATACTTTTCAAATATAAAAATAAAATCCAGCAGTGAAATTAATCATTTTTGTGTTCTCCCTCATTTTTAAGCACTAAACAGCGAAACAAATGAATAAATTGACCAAAACTCCTGCATCTCATCAGGCCTCCCCGTCTGTCACTGGCAGTTCGCCCCTACCATTTTAAATAGTGATCATGAAAGAAACAAATCAATAACCTGACTCTGCCAGATGGATTTGCTCCGCATATCCATCTGGAAACCTTCCGTTGAAGTAATTTTGGGAAGGGACGAAAATACTGGTTAGCTGATTGGCCTATGTTGGTGATAGACGGGCCAAATAAACCAATCAGATCAACGAAGCATATGACGTACTAACAGAGCGACGATGAAAACACAACCACAAGCCAGGCTACTCTTGCCGAAACCAGTCGGGAGAAGAGCAAAAACATCTTTTCCTCTGAGAAAGCCACCAGAGCAGTGTTTTGCTCTTCTTTCAGTGAAGAAATACTCTGTAATTCCTTTAAAACTTGCTTGATAGCCACGCTAACGCTAGTTTCATCGGCTGAAGCCGCCATGTTCTTTAGACTGAACTGTCGCGCTTCTCGTTGCGTCACACCTCAACCCGCCTCAAAGCCAACGCTGATTGGACGTTCGTTTGGTGAACGGCTCCAAATTTTCTTCAATGGAGAGTCTCCAGACTGAATAGCGAGTGAAACCTTGAAAGCTCGCGAGATCAGGATGGTCTCACGAGGCTAACAAATCAATGCATCTTTATAGCAGTTTTAAAGCTTTAATACCTGTTTTTTTTTTTTTTTTTTTTTTGGGTGAGGCCCAATATCAGTGTCTTTCATGGGGCCTCAATTTCCTGGTGCCTTGACCTTTAGTCATATTTTTAAATATGCAGACAGGAAAGTTGATAGAAGAGAGAGGAGAGAGAATCTCTGTGAAATTGTGGACCAGTAGTACTGAGTAAAAACGTAGAACGGTGCAGGTTTCCGTCCTCATCAGCTGCTGTTGTCTTTGATCCCAGGCAGGAGACACCTGTCTGCATGTGGCGGCTCGCTACAACCATGTGGCCATGCTACGCATCCTGCTGGGGGCCTTTTGCTCGGTGTCAGAGAAGAACCTGGTGAGTCTATCCTACTAAAACACAGACAATAATGGCAAAAAAGAATCCCTTTATTTTGGTAATTTTCTTGAAAGTTTGCTCAATAAATCAGCATTTCTAAAACATTAATGAGAGAGGGATGTTCTTATTAGAATGCATTTATTTCAGGTTCAGTGCTGAAATGATGATAGAAACTAGCTGATGAGTCTGAAGGCAGCTTAGAGCATCTGGATGACACGATAGAGTCCCATCTTGGAGGTTACCTGTGGAGTACCACAGGGATCAGTGCTAGGACCAATTCTCTTTACTTTATACATGCTCCCAATTGGTAGAATTATTAGACAGCATGGGATTAATTTCCACTGTTATGCTGATGATACCCAGCTATATCTGTCTATAAATCCAGATGAAGCTAACCCATTACATAGATTACAGGCATGTCTTGAAGACATAAAAACCTGGATGACTCTTAACTTTCTGCTTCTGAATGCAGACAAAACAGAAGTTATAGTCTTTGGACCAGAGTCTCTGAAAAAGAAACTGATTAGCCAGTCACTTCATTTGGATGGGATTAAACTGATTTCAGATAATAAAGTAAAAAATCTTCGTGTTATTTTTGATCAGGACCTGTCATTTAAATCCCATATCAAAGAGGTTTCTAGAATTTCCTTCTTTCATCTGAGGAACATTGCAAAAATTAGAAATCTCCTGTCCAGGGGTGATGCTGAGAAACTAGTCCATGCATTTGTTACTTCAAGGCTGGACTATTGTAATTCTTTACTATCAGGAAGTCCACAAACTGTAGTTAAAAGCCTTCAGCTGATCCAAAATGCTGCAGCCAGAGTTCTAATGAAAATGAAAAAGAGAGATCATATCTCTCCTATCCTGGCTTCTCTTCATTGGCTTCCTGTTAAATCAAGAATAGAATTTAAAATCCTCCTTCTCACATATAAAGCCTTAAATGGCCAAGCTCCATCTTATATCAGAGATCTGATTGTTCCTTATGTTCCTAACAGAGCACTTCGCTCTCAATCTGCAGGTTTACTAGTGGTTCCTAGAATTTCTAAAAGTAGAATGGGAGGCAGATCTTTTAGTTATCAGGCTCCTCTCCTGTGGAACCAACTACCAGTTTTAGTCCGTGAGGCAGACACCCTGTCTACTTTTAAGGCTAGGCTTAAAACTTTCCTTTTTGATAAAGCTTATAGTTAGGGTGGCTCAGGTTATCCTGAGCTATCTCTATAGTTATGCTGCTATAGGCTTAGACTTTTGGAGGACATAGGGACCCCCATTTCATCATTCTGCTTCATTCTCTCTCTGTTCTCCTATTCTGCAGAATCTGTTAGTTCAATCTCTAACCTTCTGCTCTCTCTGCTTTTCCTCAGAGTAGCTTTGCCTCGTCTGTTCCTGTTTGGCTGTGACGTCATCCTGGAAAGAAACATCAGCTGTGCTGCTTCTATCAACACCCTTGTTAATAGATGTTGGAGATCGGCCTGTTTTCCAGTGTGGTCCTGTTTCTCTGACCGTGACTGAGTGGATGTGCTCTCTTCGTCCTCTGGCATGGGAGCTGCCTTGGAGCTCGTCTGCCTGGCTGTGTGTTTCCTGGACGGGGCCGCCTTTTACAGCTGCTTTTTGTATCTCTGCTTCTGTCTCCTTGAACCCCAGTCGGCCTCGGCAGATGGCCGCTCACACTGAGCCTGGTTCTGCTGGAGGTTTCTTCCTGTTAAAAGGGAGTTTTTCCTCTCCACTGTCGCTACAAGCATGCTTAGTGTGGGGGATTGTATTTGAGTCAATGAGTCAATGCAATCAACTGGTTTTCCTTAGATAGAAAACTTTGTATCAATTTGACTGTATGATCTGGTTGAACTGTAAAGTGCCTTGAGATGACATGTGTTGTGAATTTGGCGCTATATAAATAAACTGAATTGAATTGAATTGAATCTTATATCTCTGTTGTGTAGATGTGGGAGGATGCTTTCTTGCTCCAGGGTTTGTCCTGACGTCTTTTCCATTAAGCACACATGGTTCATTCCACTCTGTTGTCTCTAAATTGGATGAAGGTCTTCCATTCTTTGGCTAATGTTCTCACTTTTCCTGTTACCATGGATGAAAAAGCTCTTCCTGTTTCCTCTCCCTCCTGCTCTGCATCCATAACCTCTCAGTTCATCTGGAGTTATTTGAGCTTTGAGATGTTTATAAGTTGCTCCCACTTTAAACCAATGTATGCTTCATTTATTTCCATTTCATCATTCTGCTTCATTCTATCTCTATTCTCCCACTCTGCAGAATCTGTTAGTTCAATCTCTAACGTTCTGCTCTCTCTGCTTTTTCTCATAGTAGCTTTATCTGGTCTGTTCCTGTTTGGCTGTGACTCCATCCTGGAGAGAAATATCAGCTGTGCTGCTGCCATCAACACCTTGTTTATAGATGTTGGAGATTGGCCTGTTTTTCAGTGTAGTCCTGTTTCTCTGACTGTGACTAACTGGATGTGCTCTCTTCATCCTCTGACATGGGAGCTGGCTCGGAGCTCGTCTGCCTGGCTGTGTGTTTCCTGGACGGGGCCGCCTGTGGAGCTGGTTGACAGTTGCCTTTTGTATCTATGCTTCTTTTTCTATGTCTGCTTCTGTCTCCTTGAACCCCAGTCAGCCTCAGCAGATGGCCGCTCACACTGAGCCTGGTTCTACTAGAGGTTTCTTCCTGTTCAAAGGGAGTTTTTCCTCTCCACTGTCGCTACAAGCATGCTTGGTGTGAGGGATTGCTGAAGAGTCAATGAGTCGATGCAATCAGCTGGTTTTCCTTAGATAGAAAACTTTCAATCAGTTTGACTGGATGATCTGGTGAACTGGAAAGCGCCTTGACATGAAATGTTGTGAATTGGTGCTATAGAAATAAACTGAATTGAATTGAATCATTCATTCCAAGTTTGAAGACGTTTCTCTTCCATCCAGGAAACTTTTTCAATTCAAAATGTCAGAAATAGCGTTAAGTTCCAGTTTTTATACAGCAGCCCAACAAAGCCTTGATTTAGTTTAGAAAACATGCAAATTGAAACAAACGAACAGGTCCACCGCTTAGGAATGGCGGTCGTTTGGGTTCTTTGTTAGCCTGCAATGCCTCATACCTGTCTATGTCTCTGAAAGGGGGGTTTAATTGAAAAAGCTTCCTGAATGGGAACCAAAACTTCTTCAAACTTGGAAACAAAGTCCAGTAGATTTTTGTAACTTTTCTGGAACACCTTTATAAAGGAACCATGCAGCCTCAGGCTCTCATTGGTGCGTTGGCCTGCTGATCACTCTGACGTGGTGTTTGTCCTGCAGGTCGGGGACACTCCGCTACACGTAGCAGCCGCCCTCAACCACAAGAAGACGGTACGTCTGCTGCTGGAGGCCGGAGCAGACAGTCACATTCAGAACAATGTGGGTGTTTCTTATGTTTCATCAGATTGAATCGTGTTTTCTTTTTTGTGTCATTTCATTTCCTTTGCAGCTCATTGCACACAATAGATCAGATCCTGGTTTCTTTCTATCTGAGAAACAGACATGCAAGTAAAACACGTCTGAAAATTATGATGCTTGAAATTAGAGATGGGAAGATCATCCAACAATTGGACTGAAGCATGATTAGCAATATTTAGTCATGTAGGAATAAAGTATTTTGGTAAAAAATTCATTTTACTTAAATTTGAAGTTATAAACAAACTGATGTTCGTAAATTATACAGAAGGATGAAAGAATTTTGCTTAACTGTAAACTAAAATACCAATTTTTTCAATAAATTTAACACAGATAAAGGCTGTTTTACTATAATGGTTTCTGGGATCTTTCCATTCAGAGTAATTTTTTATCAGCATCTAAGGCCTTGATGCTCAATTCCAATTTGTTTTGTGAAATTCGATTTATTTATTTTTTTCGCGTTGCTGTTCACATTTCCAAATATATGCGACCTGTATGTGATCTCCTGTGTGAACTGCAGTCATACAAAGCAAGTGTCCCGCATGCGCATTAGTGGACGCAATGATGTCACAGGCCAGTGTGCTCTGTGTTTATGGGAGTAAAGATGGATGGCAGTGCCGGAGCGTATCCAGCGGTCTTTTCCAACCATAGAAACTCAATCTTTTCAATATGGTTAAACATAATTACTGCTCTCCGCATCATCGTCCACCATGGTTGTTGTTTTTCTTGCTGCTTCTGCGTAGCAAGACCCAGAATAGTGACCTTTGTCGGTTACTAATGGCATTCAGGTCTAATGAATGCGACCTGGCCGTTCAGACACAGGCAGCATTTGAAAAGATCAGATTCATATCAGATTCAGGACCACAGAGCCAAGTGGCCTGGGTCGCATTGGAAATAATCAGATTTCTGTTGTTCAGACTGTAATGTAAAGATCAGATCCAGGTCGCATGTGGTCAAAAAAATCGGATTTGGGTCACTTCAGACTGCTGTGTGAATGTAGCTTATGTCTGACGCCCATCGTGACTTTGTTAAATAAAACAGCCTAGCCTTTATTTAAATGCATTGTTAGTTAGGATCCTTTAGAAGAGTTCATAATAAATCCACCAGCCTCACTATCCCCAACCTGCTGCCCGTCCCTCTGATAAACTGCATCAACCCTCCAAGGTCGTTTACTCCTGTTTTCTAAATCTTTGCCACCAGCAGTCTCATCATAACTTGTTTTGACTCTCACTGTTCCAGCAGGCCTGACCTGCTGAAGGTCAACCTTCACCCACACACCCGAAAAAATCCAAATCTTTCTTAAATTAAGTGCATTTGTTCTTGAATTGAGGATCTAAGTGAGACAATCTGCCAATGGAACATTTAGAATAAGAAAAAAACACTGTCTTATTTGAAATATACATTATTAGTATATTTTTGCATGCCTTATACCCTAGTGTTTTTAGAGATTTTTATAATTTTATTTACTATTTCATATATGTTTCATGTTGCACGACTGTACCACAAAAAATTCCTAGTTGTGAACTTCTTCACTAACAATGGCAATAAACCCGATTCTGATTCTGATTCTGAAATGCATATTATCTAATTATCTTATTTTAAGAGTAAAAATGCTCATTCCACTGGCTGATCATCTTATTTACCTGCTCAAGTTGAGGCTAAATACACTTCTTTTAAGATATTTTTACTTATTTCTAGATAGTTTTTGCAGTGCAGATTAATGGCACCGTTATCTCCTGCTCCCCATGGAAGCAGGGATGAGTAACGGTTCGCAGACCGAGCAGAGGTCTTCCAGGAGAAGCTCCTGATGTTTACCTGTAACCTGCTGCTATCAGTTCATCTGCATCCTCTACTCTAACTTCTGCAGAACGGCTCCCATCTGAACACTTTGCTGTTTTTTCCTCAGGCGGGTCAGACGGCGTTGGACCAGGCCAGGGATCACAACAACCCAGAGGTGGCTCTGCTCCTTACCAAGGCTCCCCAGGTACAGCTGCCACTGAGAGGGTCGGTCTGGGACAGCAGCTGCTGAGGAAAGCTGTCATCTAATGTAGCAGGAGCTCATTTACAGCTTTTAGAACAATTATTACGCCAAACGTTGGAGAAATGAAAGCTTCACTGACCTGGTTCTCTCCTCCTGTTAGACTCTAGATGTTCTTCTTGAATTTTAATGGTGTTTGGCGAACAAATAAGTGCATTAGGGAATGTGAACCAGGACTAGTGAGCTGAAAGAGAAAAAAAAATCTTCTAAATGGGAGATGAAACTCTACACCAGTACCGATTAAAGAGCTTTAGCCGTTAGAATAACCATGCCAACCCCATCAGAGCCTGGTGTCAGCAGGCCTCTGAAGCAGCGGTGAGGTCTGTCAGGCAGGATTGTGCATATTTACATCAAAAACGGCAGCATGCTTAAAAATGGCACCAGTTATAGACATGTTATGCATCCTTAGAAAGCAAAGCACAGCTAATAAATATATAGCAGCATGTTAAATCAAAATATTTAGAATAAAACTTCGACTTCCTACATCTGAAGGGATCCTGAGGCCGTTTTTTAAATCCAATCTTAGATTGTTTATATTCCATTTATACGTAAGGGTCTACGGATCAAAAGTAATCCAGCATATTTTGTAATAAAAATATTCCATGATGAGAAAATCCCCACATTGCGTCTGTTTTTTACCATCAGAAAAGTTTGGTTCTTATACCTAATGCTAAATGTCTTGCTAATTACCCTAGCTTCCACAAACCTTTCCTGTTGATGTTTGGTATGTTTGTTTTCATCACCTTCCTGCCTAAAAAAACAAAAGTGTCCCAGCCGATTTTTGTCAAGATTTGCTGCCGGGACAGCCCTCGAAGCATCACCAGAGCTCCCTCTCAGCCGCCATCTATACGCAGGATTCCCCTTCATATTGTTCCTCAGTCAAAATTTGGCAGAATCTGGCCCATTTGGAGAGGTTTGGAGATGCTGGTGAATCCAGAAGTTAAAAGTCCCACAGTTATACTTAGAGGTCTGAAATTGTTTGCATTTACTGCTGACATTATGCCGAATAAATGTAATACAGTGAGACATGCCTATTCTCAAGCATGTCTTTTTTACTGCTATTCAAATAATAGCTATTGTTTTCAAGAAGAAATAAAACAATGAGTCATGTTTGAACTGATGCCGTTCAGGCGGCGTTTTGGTTACAATATTTTCATTAATATTTTCAGAAACTAGAAGGTTTCACCTTTCAAATGATGCATCTTACATGTCATTTAATTTTACAGTTCCCTGGTTATTTGTTTTCCATTTGGGTATGGAAAAGGCAAGGATTACTTAAAATGAGGTGGATGTTAAACAAACTAGTTTTTGATGTCTTGTTTTGGACGCAAGACATTTCAAATTTCTGTTTAATAATTCATTAATAACTTACAAATGTTGGTAGTTTAGTTCAAGACATTCAGCTTCATTTCCTCATGTTTTCAGCCCACAGACGAGCTGAACGGCACAATCAGAACACCCCAGCATCTAATCTGATGTTTTAATAGGAATATAAAGCAGGTGATCAGATGTTTAGCAGCGACTTTCTGAGGTGTTAAAGGGTCAATATAGAAGTTAGAACTGCAACTAAAGTTTATTTTGCTTCTGGATTAATCTGATGATTATTTCCTTGATTAATAATCTGGAAGCAAAGGTGCCTTGAATAAGATTTTATATAGAATTGAAAGCAGGTGAAGCAAACAAACTAATTCATCTACGGAGTGGGAGAAATGAAGCCGTTTCTGAGAAAATGCTGAGGTCTTTATTTAGCTCTGGGACCTAATGGGACTCCGCTGCCTCGGTGTCCAGGTGCAGAGCTTCATGCGAGGAAGGAGCGTGAGGAAGAGGAGAGACAGACTGAAAGCAGAGGGCCGCGCCCGATCGGTGCCTAGAGATGAGATGTTCAGCTGTAACGTGAGTAAAGCCGCTGATGAAATGAAGACATGGATGGAAGGAATGAGGGGAAAAAAAGCCTCACATTTCCAAACAATCAACCTGCAGCTGAATCTTCCTGTTTTCCTGCAGGACAGCGTGTCGGCTGCAGACCAAACCCAAGGCAGCGACCCCGCCGCTCGCCAGCAACCTGCTGGGACAGAGACAAACATCCGAGGAGAGAAGGTCAGCAAGCAGAAAGAGAAGGTGAGACGAATGAGGCTGGGATCGGTCGCTCCTCCATAGATGAATCATTAAAGGAAACTTCTGGTCAGCAAGGAACAACCAATGGATCATTATTTATACCTAAAACTAATATGTTTGCAGTGATTTAATGAATTTAGCATTAATCAGTAAAACAAAACTATTTTTGTTGCGATCACCGAGTCTGGGTGCGGCCATTTTTGCCCAAATATAGTATAGTTCTTTGACAAACATGGATGCCTCCAGTAAAGCACATTCAGATGAAAATTACTCTGAATTAAAAACACTGATCATTTATTGAACAGTACGGAATAAGTTCATATTTAAAGAACTTTCAGAAGTTTGAATTGTGAATATGATGGACTTTTTCTTTAAAGTGACTGAGGTTTACTTTTGCAGCCCTCGCTGTCTGAACCTCTTCGCCGTAGAGAGACCAGGCGCCTGGAAACTCTTCAGAGGAGGAAAAACAAAGCACATGCATCCATTCCACCTCACAACTATAAAGCTTATCAGCTCTACACGCTCTACAGGGGGAAGGATGGCAAGATCATGCAGGTAAGAGCCCCAGCTGGTCCCTGAGGACCAACCATCATCCAGTGTTTAGAGGCTGTTCTAGATGCACCTCAGACGAGCAGGTCTGCTGAGTCTGGTTCTGCTGCAGGCTCCGCTGAACGGCTGCCGCTGTGATCCACTCCTCAGTAAACTGGAGAACCAGCTGGAGGCCACCAAGGAGGAGATGAAGGCTGAGATCCATGCTGTGGAGGATGTGATGAACAGGAAGCTGGGCCAGCTGGACCGCAGGAGCAGACACCAGGTGACCCAAACCTGATCCGTTCCCACAGCAGCTGGATTCTGTTCATTTTAACCTTTAAATCTTTTCAAAAATCGAAAAAAAATCCTTAAAACTATAGATGAGGATCTTTTATTTCCGGGTGGATCGTCTCAATAACTGGTCCTCCTAACTGTCAATCATTCTGGTGATATGTTTACCTAAAGCCGTCCTACCTGCTCGTTCCATTAGCTACCTTTCTCTGTGCATGCTCACTTTCAGGCGTATGTCTGTGGTGAGCTATGGTTTCAGACAGTCATTGAAGCTCAACTTTCTCACCGCGGTTCTTTAAAAATGGCAGAGGGTCATAAGAGAAAAAGTGTGTACGAAGTGTATGACAAGAAAAGAAAGGAGGCAGATATATCCCAGATTTTGCACAGAGAGCAACTAATATGACTAATAACAAAGATGGCGCAGGCACCGCGTGGTGGAGGAGTTACATGACCAACAGGGAGCAAAAAGCAGTGATCATCTGTCCGAACGTCTGTTAACCGAGTTCACTATAAAGTCCCCGCTGTATGCGGACACAGTAAGCTTGTATGAGCTATGAGAACAGCAGCTTTTAAACAGTGTGCACGAGGAGAAATGGGCTCGTGCACGCTCTCATACGTGCATTTTTTTTTAAGTAGAGAGGGTGATTCTTTTAAAACACAAAGGCTGCAATGCATTGGAAGTCATTTTTTCCCTCTTTTTACCTGCAGCAACCATTGATCTTTATTTTGATGATCACCTGTTTGCTTTGCAACACTAAAGCAAACAAAAATCCCCACCAAAGCATGGCGGTGGCAGCATCATGCTGTGGGGATGCTGATCAGTAGTTGGATGGCCTGTAAAGATAGAGGAAGAATAAATGCTGCCAAATACACTGAAATCCTGAGGAGAGCAGCTGGGAGACGGGTTATTTCCCAGAAAGATGATGATCCAGAACATTCAGTTGAAGCCACACAGGAATAGGTTTGAAAGGACTGTGTACTGGTTCTGGAGCCGCCCAGTCAAAGCCCAGACCTCGTTCCTGACTTACCGGACTGACCCACTGACTCAGTGCTGTGATTGGAGCATCTAAACACTTACTGGAAGGAGCTGAATAACTATGCAAACTGTTACTTTTTACATTTTCCTCACTATTACTGTGTAAATATATGACTATGATTGGAGGTTTGGAGGTTTCTTCCTGTTAAAAAGGAGTTGTTCTTCTCCACTGTCGCTACAAGCATGCTTAGTTTGAGGGATTGCCTTCTAGCCAATGAGTCGATGCAATCAGCTGGTTTTCCTTAGATAGAAAACTTTGAATCAATCTGACTGGATGATCTGGTGAACTGGAAAGTGACCTGAGATGACATGATGTGAATTGGCGCCAATGAAAAGCACTGAAATGTGATGAGGTCAGGAAAAGGTTTGATGTAAACCTCTAAAGCAGGATGTGTCCTGCTGCTCCTCAGATCCGAGCTCTGGATAAGATGACGCTGGAGAGGGTTTCTGCAGAGAAGAGCGAGTGTCTGCAGAGGATGGAGCAGTGGGCCGTGCAGGAGCGCCTGGAGGCCCAGAAGAGACAGGTAACCTCCTGGTTCCACATGGGTGCACTAAATGTTCCCCTCCTCCAGCATCTGCAGAGAACAGAACATAAGGAGCTAGTACTGAAAGAATCCCAGAACATTGAGCCCAGAGAAGGAGCATCTAAAGGTCCTCTTCTCTCTCTAAGCAGACGTCTCTGGTGGCTGAGCTGAAGAGCTGGTGTCTGTCCAAGCTGCAGAACATGGAGCTCCACTTCACGGGAGACTCTGGCACCAGGCTGCAGCGCTCGTCCTCTTTAGCCGACATCCTGAGTGAGGCTGATGGAGCCAGCGACGCCGCACCGCCACCGCCGCCGGCCGAGGCGCCGGCCGAGCCCGGCTGCAGCTCCCAGCTCCCAGAGCTCCACAAACATGAGACGTGCGCAGCAGAACCCAGCAGGACCAACCAGTACTTTGTGGTTCATGTGGAGAACTCTCCAGGTGAGGAATCGGCACCTCCCTCTGCTGCTGTCTGTGTCTGCTCCTGTTACACCGTGCTGATTTATCCAGCGTATGAACTTCTGTCCAACGACCTAACTTCTGCTTAATGGACGGCAGCTAATGCCCAGGAAATGATGCACAAGCCAGTGTCCTGAGGGGGGCAGCGATGCAACCGGAGGCGCCGGCCAGCAGAAAAAGATTTATTTGATAGCAGTATTAACCTAGCTGCTGTTTACCGCCCGCAAAGAAAATAAATAAATAAAAAATAAATAAAAAGAAAGAAAAAAAGTTTTTGATGGCAGCAGATTCAGCATCATGTCTGCTAGGAAGTGTGTTGGTGGTGGGCGTGAACGCAGGGAGGATCCATCACCTTCTGGCTCACCCTATGATGGAGATGAAGTCTGGAGGAGAACTGACGGTTTCCTCCTGTGAACCCCTTGTTTCAGCGTGTTTCATGGTGCTCATAACTTTTACAAAACGTGCCCATAACTTATCCAACATATACCAACGTATTTACCAGATTTTCTGTACGTCAGGCAGACGCTGATCTAAACCATCATTGTCTTTAAAGAAAACAGCAGCTTCATCAGGAGGGACTTTGGTTCATATTTAGTTTCAACCAGAGATAAAATCCAAGCCATGTTCCTGAATCCAGCAGTTAGTGGGGTTCTATCTGTTTCCAGCTGAGTGCATCATGCTCTGCTGCCTGACCCAGTTCCCCCTAAGCTTCAGCTGTCAGGCAGATGGTCTCTCATTAGAGGCTACACTGCTAAAAACTATCATTTCATCTGCTCTGATTCAGAGCAGCTAAATTACATGATCTGAGTTTTTTCCCTTAAAATGATCTTATTCTATAAATATTAGTTTTCATGGGGTTCCCTGATGCTGCGGTACACCGCCTACAGCAGACGGTGTGTCTGGACCAGCTGCTGCTCCTGCAATGCTGCTAAGATGGATCCGAATAGTTTAGAAACTAAATGTCTCTCTCATTCTGCTCCCAGATCACTTTCCTTTCCTGCTGAGTTCCCTTACAACTACGCTTAATTTAAGACCTTTGCTGTGTTCCCAGATGAGATGCTCCTCTTTACACTGCAAATCCCATCTAAAAATTAGTAAAAATGTCTTAAATGAAGTGTATTTACCATTATTTTAAGTAGGTAAATAAGATAATTTGCCAATGGAATGAGTATTTTTAGTCTTAAAATAAGATAATTAGATCATTTTCACTTCAAATAAGACAGTGCAATTGTGTTTTATTATTTTAAATGTAAATTGTCTTGTTCCATTGGAAAAGTGTCTCAATTACCTCCTCAATTCAAGAAAAAAGGACTTATTTAGATTTAAATTTTTTGCAGTGTAGAGCTTACATAACCAGAATCATCTGGAATAAAAACATGATCCTGTTTCCAAAGAGCAGTGATGGTCGTTTCAGTTCAAATGAACTAACTGTAGTTTTTAGAGCTGAAACAATTAATCTGAATAAAGTATTACTGAAATAATTATTTTAGTAATCCATTAATCGTGGAGTATACACTGCAAAACATTTAAATCTCAATACGTTTTTCTTTTTCTTAAAAAAGGTGCATTTGTTCTTGAAGACAATTTACATTTAAAATAAGAAAAAAACAATGCATTGTCTTATTTGAAGTGCGTATTATCTAATTATCTTATTTTAAGAGTGAAAAAACTAATTCCATTGGCAAATCATATTATTTACCCTTTTTAAATTAAGGTTAAATACAGTTAATTTATGAAGTTTTTACTTATTTTTAGATTGTTTTTGCAGTGTAAAGATCCTAACATATGCCTTTTAGCTGTCAGAACAACCCACTTAGAGCAGGAATCATTCTAAAATTGCAAAACAAAATGTAAATATTTTGCATTTAAGATAAAAAAAAAAAAGTTCTGTCTTTCAATCTGCCCTATAGTGGAAAAGTTTTAGTTTCACTTGGTTTATTTCAGTAAAAAGTCTTTTTTAAAGAATCTTTGGCTATCCGATTATTAATGACTTAATTGAAAAAATAATGACCAGATTAAAGGAAGTGCAAAATGATTACTGGAAGCAGCCCTCTGTAGTTTTATGTCTGTAACCCCCCCAGCAGCTGCCTGTAGTTTCAGCATAAAGGAAGAGTTTGTTCAGTTTGGCAGATAAATGATGGATATAGAGACATGATGGATGAAATGTTTGATATCCTCCCTGACATCACCGCTGAACCAGAAGCTCAGAAACCATCTCAGAGCTGTCCTATTCAGAGTCCTTTACTTAAAACTTAATGTTAATAAAAAGATTTATTGTTGTTTTTTTATCTGTATAAATACAGATGTAGTCCAGATCAAAAGCAAAGGACAATAAAACAAGGCAAAAATGAAATATAAGTTTACTTTTCTTTGTTTTGAGTAGTTAAGTAAAATTTGACAATGAAATAAAATAAAAATTTAAACTAAAAAGCAACTCCATCTTATTTCGCTTCTGTCAGTGAGCCCCAGGGCAGCTGTGGCTACAATGTAGCTTGCCACCATCAGTGTGTGAGTGTGTGTGTGAATGGGTGATGAATGAATGTAGTGTAAAGCGCTTTGGTCAAGTCTCCTAACTTGAATAAAGGCGCTATATAAGTACATGCCATTTACCATTTACCATTTATTTCAATGGTATAATATCTAATTTTCTAAGTTTAGGAGCCAGAAATCTGGCTCCATTTGTGGATCCAGTTCTTTACCTGCTCAGATGAAGAGAAAATGCTCTTTTTTAAACACAATTTTACTTCTTTTAGATCAGTTTGTGCAGTGTATAATAAAAAAGGCTAAAAATAAAATAAAAAATAAAAAAGACTCATGTGGCCCCTGATGCCCCCCTGGTGCTGGTGATCTCTGTCCTCTATAGTTATTGGTACACAGTGGTGTCTGCAGCCCACATCTTGGGTGTCGTCTCCATTTCAAGCATCATCTTATTTACCTGCTCAAATTAAGGCTTAATATGCTTAATTTAAGACATTTGTTATTATTTCTAGATATTTTTTGCAGTGTAAAGCCTGACAGATGCAGTTTGGCTCTTTTAGAAACTTTTAGACTCAGAGCTCACACTGAGCCTGGTTCTGCTGGAGGTTTCTTCCTGTTTAAAGGGAGTTTTTCCTCTCCACTGTCGCTACAAGCATGCTTAGTGTAAGGGATTGCTGAAAAGTCAATAAGTCGATGCAATCAACTGGTTTTTCTTAGATAGAAAACTTTGAATCAATCTGACTGGATGATCTGGTGAACTGGAAAGAGCTTTGAGATGACATGATGTGAATTGGCGCTATAGAAATAAACTGAATTAAAGGGCACCAATGATGACCAGCTGTCTTGCTGCTCACACTGATTCACTGTGAAGGATTTCTGCTGCTCACTAAACCAGTTCTGTTGAACTCCTAACAGATGGTGAGAAGGAGCAGAAGACGGAGGCATCAGCAGCAGCAGCTCAGTCGTCTGTCCAAGTGGTCCGGCCAAAGGAGCGCCCTGTGGTCTCTCCCGACACTCAGAGGAAGAAAGTTGAGCTGGTGGACACTAAGCGACAGAGGCATAGAGCCAGCAGCCTTTCTCCGGCCGCAGGGCGCCGTGACAGAGTCAGGCACCATGAGAGGCGCTCCCATGGCAGGACTGGGTCCAGAGGAGCCGCAGGGATCAGGACTGAGGCAGAGTCTGGAGAGCAGCCCAGTGAGCCGTCCTTCGATCAGGAGAGGGACAAAATGCACGCCGTGGAGGTGACCCAGTACTTCTTTGAGGCGGTGTCCGTCCAGATGGAGCGCTGGTATGAGAGGAAGGTGCAGGAGGCGCGCTGGCAGGCCGACCAGAGGGCGCAGGCAGACAAAGCTGCTCTGATCCAGAGGATCGCACATCTGGAAGATGAGCTTCGAGCGCTGAGGATGAGTCGGCACGACGCCTGCTAACGCTGCGCCGCTTCCAAACCTCTCAGTCCGTCTTTCCTTCTGTGCTGCTGTAGGGAAAACCTTCAGTTCTTTATGAAAATAGCTGCTGTTAGAAGTTATCTGTCTGCCTGCTGCGTCCAACCGATAAGCTATGAGGTCTTTATAACAGAGGATGAGGAGGAGCTGGAAACAGCCGTGATGGTAACGTATCTGATGATGATGAGCGAACATTTGTGTTTAACCCTTTATAGGGCACTCAGTGAAATACTTTGAAATTGGAGTGTTATTGGAATCCAGGAAAATACCTTATTACACCTTTGTAACATAAAAAAAAATATGGATATTTACATGGCAGAACTTAATTTCAAAGTAATAATACGAAATGCAAACTTGCCCAAATATATATAAAAAAATAACGAAAGTGCTTCAATAAGAAATTGAGAGTCAGTGATGGTCTGGGTGCCATGTCAGCTGCTGGTGTTGGTCCACTGGGTTTTATCAAGGCCAGGGTCAATGCAGCTATCAGGAGGTTTTGCATTTCATGCTTCCATCTGCTGAAAAGCTTTATGGAGATGAAGATTTTATTTTTCAGCACCACTTGGCACCTGCTCACAGAGCCAAAACCACTGGTTTACTGACCATGGTATCACTGGGCTCTATTGGCCTGAACCTCATAGAGAATCTGTGGGATATTGTGAAGAGAAAGTTGAAAGAGGCAAGACCCAACACTGGATGAGCTAAAGGCTAAACGCTATGGAAGCATCCTGGGCCTCCATGACACCTTAGCAGAGCCACAGGCTGATTGCCTCCATGCCACGGCGCACTGAAGCAGTCATTGCTGCTATAGGATTCACCACAAAGTATTGGTTTCATAACTGAACATAATCATTTGAAGGTTGACCTTTTTTGTACCAATAAAAGAAAAGGGTTCTACCTTTACTTTTATTGGTCGGATGAAATATGCAAATTTTTTTAGATAAGAATTTTGTGTTTTCATGAGCTGGATGCCAAAATCATTCATATTAAGACAATAAAAGACCTGAACTATTTCAGTTAGTGTGCAATGAATCTAAAATATGTGAATGTTCAGGTTTTATCATTACATTCTGGAAAATAATGAACTTTATCACAATATGCTATTTTGAGGAGGACCTGTCCATATTTTTGTTTATAAACCGAAATATAATTGTTAACTAGGCTTATTAACTTTTTAACTTTACTTTTTACCTTTTTTTTTTCTTGACTTAACATTTTTTCCCCAACTTAATTTCCAGTAGTAATATATGAAGGGCTCATCTAATTTTTCAAATGCCAAAATAAGATGTACAGCTGTATCTTTGCTGAATGGCTGGATATAGATCTAGTGCTTCTAGACCTCACTGTAAGTGATCAAAAATGCTAGCTTGCCGTATAAAGGGTTAAACCTGCTCCCTGTTAGACGATAGAAAGGAAACATGAAGGTACTGCTGTTCTATTATTTATGATGGAGTTCATTAGTAGATAGAAGAAAGGATGGAAATAAGATCGTTTAGAAAAGGGAATCCTGATTTATTTCTGATACTCCTTCCAGCCTCAGATGCTTCAGCACTCTGCCTGATCTGATCTACGTTACAGCGGCGTCCTTAAACAACACCGTCACTTTGGTTCCCAATCTATGGCTTTGGCTTGAATCTATAGAAACGTGATGCTGAGATGAAAATGTCTCCCGTTCATCACGGAACGCCTTGGATCTGGTAACAGCTGAGCTCCATCTGACAGGATGATTTTATTGGGGAAGAATCCATGTTGGCAAAGGAAGAAAAGCAGTCCCATTGGAATCTGGAGGATTAGGGTCACTAGGAAACATTTTTTAAAAGTTAATGCAGATATTTCCCTGCGGTTTGGTCTCTCGTTTTCACCAAAACCCAATTTTTAATCACAGAAAACCATTATTTCTACACCTACCGTCCAAACTGGAGATTTCTGGTAACGGTGCTGCAATGTCAGCAGGGATAAACGGCCTTTTAGCTTCTTAAACGTCACTTTATGAAAATCCTTGACGTCATGTGAGCTTCTGATGCTTTTAGTTTTTATGGCGCTTGAATTTTCTATTGGAGCGCTGTTTGTTTCTATGTGTAAATGTGGCCTAAAATTCAGTGTAAACAAATGAGCAGCTTCCAATGAGACTGTTTTTCTTCCATAGTTGGCCTCCGAACCACAAGTTATCGTTTTTAGACCCATTAAAATGTATAAAACTTTTTTTTTTATCAGTTTATGCTCTGTGGATGTATTGTTTTTGTAAAAAAATTCCTGGTTTTGATAAAAAAGTTAAAGCTCTTCATTTTAGGTAAGGTCCTGTCATTTAAGGGCATCAGATGTTTTGGTTATAGTTTAAATGTGTGAAATAAGAAGCGTTTCCACCGATCAGAAATGAAAACCCTTGGTAGCACAGAGTTGATCAGGGGAGTTCAACAGTTTTTACTGTATTTTTTAATGCGGACATGAAAGCAAACCTTCTGTGGTTTGATGGTCAGTAAAGATAGAAGCTGCGCTGAGCGGCGGCAGTGATGTCATCGCATCAGAGGCTCTTCTGTTGAACATGTGAAAAAAAAGCTGAGCTCAGTGTTTGTACTGAATGTGCTGCATGAAGAACAGCTTCAGTGTTACTTTCTGCTCTTTTATTTCTCTTCATTTGATTTCTTCTCTCTGATGATGTCAGAAAAAATATTTTTATTATAAAAACCAGCATAACCTCTGAGTGATGGAGTTCCTTTATTTACATCAAACACAGCATGTTGGATCAGGATCCTGATCGCTGTCCCAGATCCTGACTGCTGAAGAAAAGTCCAGAACAGTGGTCAGCGGTGTGGGTGGGGGGGCGTCAGCTTCTAGCCAGCGCCAGAGATTTCTGCAGCTCCTCCAGGTGGTTGCTGGCCTGTGTTATCATCATGCGGATGGCGTCCTGAGATAATCAGAGAACATCAGTCAGTGCAAAGCAAGTCAGAACAATGAGCTGATAACAGGATGACATCATCGAAGTCCTGTCAGCTCAGCATACCGCGTCAGGCCAGCATACCATTAGTAAGACGCATTACATAGATAAAAAAAAAAAAAAAAGATCAACCAGTGAAGGTTTGGAGGCATTTTTAATTATAATCTGTTACTTTAAGCAGAATTTAAAACTGAAATAAGATGAGGTGTTTATGCATTCATGTTATACATTGAATTTTTAAATAAATATAAAAAATAGAACATGTTTCCATTTTAAAATATAAAGTGTTTTTTAAGTAGAGAACAACAATCGTTCAGTTTGGTTTATAGACAATTTATCTGATTCCCATATTTTCTCAAACACCTGAACTGAGCGTTTGTTATTTTCTTTCTTTTTTCTGTCTTAATGTTGGCAGTGGGCTTTATGCTGCCCTGCAAGGCTTTAAACCTGGGTTTAACCGGAGACTAAGCCATTCTCAAGCACATATCAAGGAGCTCATTTTGAGCCTGGATCCAGATTTATTGTTGATTCTGTTCATGGTGGAGAATCCTGCTTCACAGCAGCAGGTTGAGTCAAACATCCTCTAAATGTGCAGGGTCATCTTTGAGCACGCCATTTCACTTTTCTTTCACCAGTTCACCGCAGTTCTTCCAGCAGTCCACACTTTCTGTGCTCTCTTTTTCTCATCATCTTCTCCTTCTTTCCCATCGCCCGGCTTGCCACAGGTTTGCCTGCTGTGTCTAAAAGTAGCAGCAGCAGCAACCCAGACTGACAGCAGCTCATTGGATCATCTGGATCATGTGCAGCCTGGAGCCGGACGTTCTGGAGGGTTTTAATGTATTAACAGGAGAAGCGGTGCATGTGAAGTTAGACACTGTCGCTGAACAACATGCCGTAATTTATAAATGTTTTAAATCAGGTTGGGTCCAGATCCAGACCCCGGTCCTCTAATCCGTGACCTCTGACCTAGAGTATCCTCTGTCTCCGCTCTCCTTACAGCCAGTCATGCTGTTTTACTTTCCAAGTTAGTTTAGTTGGGTTTTTGTCATAGTTTTGTGCATAAAACAACAAAAAAAAGTCCTTCACTAGCTAAACGACACACATTAAAAACAAACATAGCGTGTTCGTTTGACGAGGATCTTATCAAAGAATGATCGGCTTTAATTCACAGAAAATTTAATATCTTAGGGAGAGGATTCTACAGCAATGTTGACAAGATATGAGATTTGTTTTTGGTTTGTATTATGAGTGGGATGCCCATCATTTTATTTTTATGTAGTTATATTTACAGTACATGAAGAACTAATGAAATTATTTTCAGATTAAACATCAATGGATTAATAAATAAATTCTTAGAATAAATGTATTTGTTCTTGAATTAAGGAGGTAAGAGACACATTTTGACAATGGAACAAAACAATTTACACTTAAAATAAGAAAACACAATTACATTGTCTCATTTCAAGTGCATATTATCTAATTATCTTATTTTAAGAGTAAAAATACTCACTCCATTGGCAACCCATCTCATTTACCTGCTCAAATTAAGGTTAAATACACCTTATTTAGGGAATTTTAACTGATTTCTAGATCGTTTTTCCTCCTTCACCTATAACGTTTTTACTCTGTTTATATGGTTTAGTTAGAGATGGTGTAATTTCTAATCACAGATCTGGCTTAAATTCAACTTTCAGACTAAATTTACCAGATAATGTGAATATTTTGGGTTTCTTGGGACTCACTAAACTGTGCTTAAAAACAGATCTGTCACCATGATGCACCTCCTACAAAAAAGTCGAATCTTTTGCTTTTTTTTTTAAATGATCCAGAATTTTGGAGCATAAAAGAAACAGGAACGTTTAAGCCGCTGCATTTTTATTTTAATTTCCTCGTTGTGTCATCCTTTTTCTCTCAGTTATCATTCACCTATCTGAATTCAATTTAAATTCAAACTGACTTGTAGTTTATTTATTGTTTTTACTGTACTTTAGGATTTAAAATCCTAGTCCACAATCATCCTCATTCACATTTTCCCCTAAATGTTGACCTTATGATAAATGTTTACATTATTTATTGGCTGCATCTAGAAATGTCAAAGATATATTTTTATTTTTAACATATATATGAAATAATACAATACAACATCCAATAACTTAAATGATATAATTGTTCTAGGTCATCAAATCAGTTTAGTTCAATCAGCTGCCTGTATTGGCTTTAAATGTCCAACAGGGGTCAGTATTCTGTTAGCATCAATAGTTAAGCTTCCAGATGCCTCATTAACATCACTAGTTTTTTCTCTGTTTATATGGTTCAGTTAGAGATGTTAGTCTAGTTTCACAGATCTGTGGCTTAAATTCAACTTTCAGACTAAATTAACCAGATAAAGGGAATATTTTGGGTTTAACTGTAACCAGAAGGTGATGGAGGCTGGAATGGCTGCATCAGGTGGAGGAATCCACCTGAAAGCTGCAGATCATCGGGTCTCTCAGTCAGAATTCACTGTTCTGTTAAATCCTCAATATTGGCTGAAATAGTTCCACATATGAAATTTTGCTCACAGGATTTTAAAGCCTTTGTTTTCATTATATTTATTTTCCTTAAAAGTCTGGATGGAGATATGTTGTCCACACACTCTTAAATAATCATTGGATTATTGGCTTGGTGTAATTTAGAGGAAGGAAAAACATAGTAACCCAGGTAACCCAGCAGAACCTCTCCTGACCTGCGGTAAACTTAGAGCCAGTCAGCGTTCCCATAGTCAACACCTGTTTATCCATTTAAACTACCTCAATTGGCATGTATCCCTTTAGTCATGTCCCAAAAACTATTTAATGACTTTTTGGTGTTTTCTGAAGCGTATGGCGATCTGTCCTCAAATTGTTTTTGTTTTGTTTTTTTGTGTATGACTAAAGGGATACATGCCCATTGAGGTAGTTTAAAGTCTATTTTTGGTACAAAATTAAAGAGACACACAAATCTGACGTCTTGCTTATTGACTATAGGTATGCTGATCTGATGTATGCTGGTCTGATGTATGCTGGTCTGATGTATGCTGGTCTGATGGGGTATGCTGGTCTGATGTATGCTGGTCTGATGGGGTATGCTGGTCTGATGTATGCTGGTCTGAAGTATGCTGGTCTGATGGGGTATGCTGGTCTGATGTATGCTGGTCTGATGTATGCTGGTCTGACAGAACAGCGGGTCCAGTTAGACATGATGGAGGACATGATGCCAATGAAACTGGTTGGTTTTCAGCTGAACTTTAATCAGATGGTCCTCCTGACCCTGTTCTTCTGTTTTAGCAGCAGATCCGCCCAGAAGCAGCTGGAGCAGCTTCTACCCAGTCTGGTTCTGTCTCCCAGTCAAAAGGAGAAGAACCAGACCAGAACCAGATGCTCTGGAGAACATTTGGGTTTCCTTATCTGGGGCTGCTGCAGTGGGTAGCAATGCTGCCTTGCAGCTAGAAGGTTCTGGGTTTGAATCCCGGCCCGGAGTCTTTCTGCATAGTTTGTATGTTCTCCCTGAGCATGTGTGGGTTCTCTCTGGGTACTCTGGCTTCCTCCCACAGTCCAAAAACATGACTGTTAGGTTATTTGGCTTCTCTAAATTCTCCTTAGGAGTGAGTGTGTGAAGGGTTGTTATTCCTGTTTGTGTCTGTTTCCCTGCGATGGACTGGTGACCTGTCCAAGGTGACAGCTGGAGATGGGCACCAGCACCCCTCATCACCGCAGCAGGGCTAAGAGTGATGGATGGGTTCCTGTTCTAGAACCTATTATCTAGATGAATGAACCTCTAAGGGGACTGAAAATGACCCAAAGAGCAGACAGGAAGAGATCCAAGGAGAACCTGGTTAGTGGCGTCCTTGTTCCTCTTAAACTCGCTCCTGGCCCAGTCCCTCAGGTACTTCCGGTCTGCCTCGTCAGGAACCTGGCGGATGGTCCTCAGCATGTTCCTGTAGATTCCCAGAACCTTCTGTCTCTGGAGGAACTGACAGGAGAACCGGGTTTAGCTCCCCCCGGACCGGGTCACCGTCTCCCAGAGGTCTGTGCTGCTTTACCTGCTTTAAGGAGAGCGCTGCGACCGGAAGTCTGGAGCTCATCCTGGTCCTGCAGCGAGCAGACAGCCTGGGAGCTTCTGGTGGTCACCGCAGCTAGTCTGGAGGACGCTTCTACTTCTTCTTTTCTATTATGGCGGATCACAAGCAACTTTAAGGTGCATACCGCCACCTACTGTACATGAGTGTGTAGCAGCGTTACTTCACATCTATTAGATTCTATTTTTTAATTTTGTATTCTTAAGATACATAAACAATGCTTTCCTTAGTTTATGAATATCTGTTATGTTTCCTTCATTTCCTAATATTCCTTTAAGATTCCATTCATGCCCTATACTTCTAACTATTCTCTTTAATTTTTCCCTTTCGTGTTCATATAACTTACAGTTCATCAGTATGTGTTCTACATTTTCTTTTTCACCACATTTATCACAATTTTTCCTCCCTATTAAATAAAGCATGTCATTTAAGTAGGTATGACCTATTCTTAATCTACTAACTATTATTTCTTCTCTTCTGTTTCTTTCATTAATGTTTCGAATTCGAACTTACTTTTGCACTTCATATAATCTTCTTCCTTTCCTATCTTCGTTCCATATTTTTGCCATTCCTCCATTTCTTTACTTTTAATAAGTGATTTCCCTTCCCCTTTTCCAAAAGGAATTGAAATCGTTATTTCCCCCTCTAAAGCCCTTTTAGCTAATTTATCTGCCTTTTCATTGCCTTTTACTCCTTCATGTGCCGGCACCCAACAAAACCAAACATCAATGCCACCCCTATATAATCTAAATAAAATATGATGAATGTCTAATACCAAATCTTTTCTATTATTTCCTTCTCCCTTAATACTTTCCACTACTGCTTTAGAGTCTGTGCACACCAACACCCTGATTGGTCGAATCTCCTCCACCCATTGCAATCCTAATATAACTGCCACCATTTCTGCTGTAAATACCGACAATTGATCTGATATTCTTTTATGAATACATTTTTTAAACTCTGGGATAGGAGGACACTTCTTTCTTCCTCTGGGGCTGCTGTTACTGCTGCTTCCGACGGCACAACTAACGTCAGGCGCTCTGTCGCCCCCTGCCGGCCTGGAATAAAATGTAACTAAAGGAAAACTTCTTCATGGGATTATAATCACAGCAGGTCGGCAGCGAGGCCGACATGCCTACAGTGCTGCCATCTTGGATCAGACCACAGTTCAGACAGCTGCTGTCAGAATGAAAAGGAGGCGCTCATTTTAATCACATGAAAGAGTCAGACAATAATCTTTTACATGTCACAACCACCTAAGAACAAAACTAATTTCTAAAATCACACAGATTTATTCAGATTAAAAACTATTTAAGCTGACCTGGATGAGATATATGCAAAGTTATACATTTTGCAAATAAATATTTATATGATAAACACAAAGTTTTATGCTAATATGTTATAAGATTATGTTTTATAAATATTATATACATATTATTCAGTATTTTAAAGGGTTGTTCTTTGATAATTATTATGATCTATAGAAGAAAAATTGTTGCAATGTGATTTACAAAAGAGAGTAAAGTTATTGTTTTTTTATTAATTTGATGTTAATTCTTATATTTTGTCATTTTTTTTAGACTTTGTTGTCCAATTGTAGTGAATGGTAAATTTCTGTTGTGTAAAGGCTTTTTGTCATAAGTTTGTCTAAACTTCTTACTAAACTTTTTTCTTTTATCATCAAGCATATACAGAGATGGCAAAAGTACTCACTTTCTGTACTTGAGTAAAAGTACAGATACTTGTGTTAAAAAATACTCTGGTAAAAGTGGAAGTACTGATTAAACTTCTTTACTCAAGTAAAAGTAACAAAGTACAGGCTTGTAAATTTACTTAAAGTATAAAAGTAAAAGTAGAAACCACTTTTTTCATGCCGTTGCCTACATTTTAAATGGATGTCTGCCAATAGGACTAGATCTCCGTTGTGTTCATTTTCAATCATCTCGTCGTCCATACTACTATGCTAACGCCACCGCCACCAAGCTGCAATGATTTGCCGCGAATTAATACCGCCGAATCTGTCGATTCATCTTGTAGTGGTGCGTCAAATGCAACGTAGATTCCCATCCAATTAGACGGAATTTGGTATTTGTGAGAAAACGGCTCACCAGCTCCCGTCTCACGTCAGAGGAGGAGTAAGCAGATGACTTGCAAAAAGGTGGTAAGAACCAGCGGACAACAAAATTCCAGTTCAAAACCGTGTAGCGGTTTACTGGTGCAACGGTGAAGACAAAAAAAAAACAAAACAAACAAAATACTTTCAAATAAAGAAAACAAAACCGGTCATTGCAGGCAATACAAAACACTGACAGCCTCACAGCAAGCTGACTTTAAATATAGTCTCTCTAAGCAGACCTTCAAAAGCAGTTTCTCCAACCAGTCTCTCCAAGCAGACCCCTAAGCCATTGGGAGTGTGCCCCTTAAATAGACCCACCAATAACCAGCCAATTGGGACAGCCCAACTAAACAGGAAGGGAAATCCCCAATAAAGCACAGTTAACATTGTAGAAAAAATGGAAAATGATATACACTATATTGCCAAAAGTATTTGCTCACCTGCCTTGACTCACATATGAGCTTAAGTGACATCCCGTTCCTAATCCATAGGGTTCAATATGACGTCGGTCCACCCTTTGCAGCTAGAACAGCTTCAACTCTTCTGGGAAGGCTGTCCACAAGGTTTAGGAGTGTGTTTATGGGAATTTTTGACCATTCTTCCAGAAGCGCATTTGTGAGGTTGCACACTGATGTTGGACGAGAAGGCCTGGCTCTCAGTCTCCGCTCTAATTCATCCCAAAGGTGTTCTATCGGGTTGAGGTCAGGACTCTGTGCAGGCCAGTCAAGTTCATCCACACCAGACTCTGTCATCCATGTCTTTATGGACCTTGCTTTGTGCACTGGTGCACAGTCATGTTGGAAGAGGAAGGGGCCAGCTCCAAACTGTTCCCACAAAGTTGGGAGCATGGAATTGTCCAAAATGTCTTGGGATGCTGAAGCATTCAGAGTTCCTTTCACTGGAACTAAGGGGCCAAGCCCAGCTCCTGAAAAACAACCCCACACCATAATCCCCCCTCCACCAAACTTTACACTTGGCACAATGCAGTCAGACAAGTACCGTTCTCCTGGCAACCGCCAAACCCAGACCCGTCCATCAGATTGCCAGATGGAGAAGCGCGATTCGTCACTCCAGAGAACGCGTCTCCACTGCTCTAGAGTCCAGTGGCGGCGTGCTTTACACCACCGCATCCGACGCTTTGCATTGCACTTGGTGATGTATGGCTTGGATGCAGCTGCTCGACCATGGAAACCCATTCCATGAAGCTCTCTGCGCACTGTTCTTGAGCTAATCTGAAGGCCACATGAAGTTTGGAGGTCTGTAGTGATTGACTCTGCAGAAAGTTGGCGACCTCTTCGCACTATGCGCGTCAGCATCCGCTGACCCCGCTCCGTCAGTTTACGTGGCCTACCACTTCGTGGCTGAGTTGCTGTCATTCCCAAACACTTCCATTTTCTTATAATACAGCTGACAGTTGACTGTGGAATATTTAGGAGCGAGGAAATTTCACGACTGGATTTGTTGCACAGGTGGCATCCTATCACAGTTCCACGCTGGAATTCACTGAGCTCCTGAGAGCGACCCATTCTTTCACAAATGTTTGTAAAAACAGTCTGCATGCCTAGGTGCTTGAATTTATACACCTGTGGCCATGGAAGTGATTGGAACACCTGATCCCAATAATTTGGATGGGTGAGCAAATACTTTTGGCAATATAGTGTATGTTCATAACTACTCGCCACACTCCTCTATCATATGGAATAATAGATTTATTCTACATCGCAATAAGTCATTATTCTACAAAGATTGGATGGAGAAGAATATTTGGTCTATTATACACTTAATGGACACTAATGGTTACATATTAAATTACGAACAATTCTGTACAAAATATCAGTTCCTTCCTCCAAAAGATGAATTTACAAGATTACTTAACGCCTTGCCAGAACAATTTATTAATCAGATTCAAAATATAATAATATATCATCCAATTACCCCCAAACTACCCGATTTATCTATTAATGGAATATCAATCACTGATCAAAAATTCAATAACCACACAATTAGAAACTATCTAAATGAAACTTTGTTCCCTGGGAAAATAAATAAAAATAACATTCTTTGCAAATTTGAACAAAAATCAATTGAAATACTAAGAACTTTTTTTTTAAACTTCCTATACAACCAAAAGCTAAAGAAACTCACTTTAAAATTTTAAATGCCATCTACCCATCAAAAGAACTACTAACAATGCGTTTTAATATTGATGACAATAAATGCTCATTCTGTTAAAATTTATGTAGAAACTATAGACCATGTCTTCTATGAATGCAGTCAGACTAAAACATTTTGGAATTGTTTAGAAAGATGGATCAAATCAAAAATTGCACTCCCTAATTCTATTTCTAGAGATATGGTAGTTTTTGGAATACTATTGAAAGACAAAACAATAGAACTCTGTTGTAACCTAATTTTTTGTTTAGCAAAATTCTTTATTCATAAACAGAGAGTCTTGAGATCCTCCCCTATCTTTAGTATTTTTTTATCTGAATTTAATTTATATTTGACATCTCTTGAATGTATCGAATCTTACAAATACTTGACTGAAATACTAATGGAACTGCCCACTGATGTACATTAATCCTAACATATGAATCCCCTTGTCTTTATGTTATTTTATTGTATTATTAGCATTACTCACGCATTTTTTTATTTTCCTCATCAAGTTACTTTGTATTTTCATTCTGAAATCTGCCTCTACTATGCCTTCTATAGAATTAGAATTCTAATGTTCTTATTGCCTAACTTGTTTGTACCCACCTTGTTTAAATAAAGTTCATTAAAAAAAAATAATAATAAAAATAAAAACATTGTAGAAAAATAAATACAGACGATAGCATCATTCATACAAAAACATACATATTTATGAAATAATTTAACCATACTAACATTACCATTTCACCTACTTATTACCATGCAAACAATTATTACATACATTGAAATCCCACTTAACACCCCTGCCCCCTAATAGTCTTTTTCAATGCCCTGGGACAATGGATAAGAGACTGGCTCCGATGCGGTACGTGTTTCCACACGGACCAGTATGCTGACGGACTAAGGGAAGAGAATGTGTAATTTGACTGGGAAGTTTTATTGCCGACTACGGAATGTATATTAAAGCTGTCGCAGTGGGTACCTTCAGAGTTTGCTACGCTGGTGAGTAAGTAAAGTGTTGAATGAAAGGTGAGGTTGTAATTTCGGAACTAGTGTAAATTACCTGGTGAATTGTTTGGAACTGCCGCCATGATGGCCGGTTTGTGGTGCATGCTGGGAAATGTAGTGAAGGATGTGACGCTGTGCGTGATAGACAGCGGCTACACTTTGGGAACAGAGGGGGAAAACGGCTCCGTTTTCACAGTGACGTGAAAAATAATAACGGTAACTCCATTGAAATGATTCAAAACTAAAGTAACGAGCCAATTTTTTAAAATGTAAGGAGTAGAAAGTACAGATATTTGTGTAAAAATGTAAGGAGTAGAAGTAAAAAGTCGCCATAAAAATAAGTAGTAAAGTAAAGTAAAAATATCAGAAAAATCTACTTGAGTACAGTAACGAAGTATTTGTACTTCGTTACTTCCCATCTCTGAGCATATATGAACATTTGTTCTTTAATCAGTTAATGTGTGTTCCTTCAAAGAGCCTCCAGTTTGCAATTCCAGCTTGGCCAGTTCAATGCTTTTATTATGATATGCCTTGTCTATGTTCTGTAACCATGGAAACATGTTGGACTGACCTTTTGGAGATGAACCAACCTTAAATCAGTCCATCTGTCTTCATTGCAGGTTTAGAAGAAAAAGAGAAACTTATTTCCATGTTGAACAAATGTTGATGAATTGATAGAAGAATCTTAGAACTATTAATGGGAAATTTTAGAATAAGGCC